TCCCTATACATGTGCGTTAGATACCTTTCGAACCTTATTAGCTCAATAGATTTATATATTTCCCACCTTCTGATCGAGTGAGACCGCTAGATTGCCTTTACTTTTTGAGAAATGAGCTTTACCGTTCTCCCTGGCCCCACTTGCACTATAAGTGCGAAATGCCGGCCAGACTGGCCGATGCACCATTTTCTCTACACATGTGCATTAGTTACCTTTCAAACCCTTACGTTCACTAGATTAATATATTTCCTACCTTCTATTTGAGTGAGACCACTAGATTCCGTGTACTATGCGAGATCTGAGCGCTTCCGTTCTTCCTGGCATTTCCACTCTAAGTTCCCATACTGACCGACCTGGCCAATGCACCATTTTCCCTATACATGTGCGTTAGATACCTTTCAAACCTTATTAGCTCACTAGATTTATATATTTCCCACCTTCTGATCGAGTGAGACCGCTAGATTCCCTTTACTTTTTGAGAAATGAGCGTTTCCGTTCTCCCTGGCCCCACTTGCACTATAAGTGCGAAATGCCGGCCAGACTGGCCGATGCACCATTTTCTCTACACATGTGCATTAGTTACCTTTCAAACCCTTACGTTCACTAGATTAATATATTTCCTACCTTCTATTTGAGTGAGACCACTAGATTCCGTGTACTATGCGAGATCTGAGCGCTTCCGTTCTTCCTGGCATTTCCACTCTAAGTTCCCATACTGACCGACCTGGCCAATGCACCATTTTCCCTATACATGTGCGTTAGATACCTTTCGAACCTTATTAGCTCACTAGATTTATATATTTCCCACCTTCTGATCGAGTGAGACCGCTAGATTCCCTTTACTTTTTGAGAAATGAGCGTTTCCGTTCTCCCTGGCCCCACTTGCACTATAAGTGCGAAATGCCGGCCAGACAGGCCGATGCACCATTTTCTCTACACATGTGCATTAGTTACCTTTCAAACCCTTACGTTCACTAGATTGATATATTTCCTACCTTCTATTTGAGTGAGACCACTAGATTCCGTGTACTATGCGAGATCTGAGCGCTTCCGTTCTCCCTGGCATTTCCACTCTAAGTTCCCATACTGATCGACCTGGCCAATGCACCATTTTCCCTATACATGTGCGTTAGATACCTTTCAAACCTTATTAGCTCACTAGATTTATGTATTTCCCACCTTCTGATCGAGTGAGACCGCTAGATTCCCTTTACTTTTTGAGAAATAAGCGTTTCCGTTCTCCCTGGCCCCACTTGCACTATAAGTGCGAAATGCCGGCCAGACTGGCCGATGCACCATTTTCTCTACACATGTGCGTTAGTTACTTTTCAAACCCTTACGTTCACTAGATTAATATATTTCCTACCTTCTATTTGAGTGAGACCTCTAGATTCCATGTACTTTGCGAGATCTGAGCGCTTTCGTTCTCCCTGGCATCTGCACTCTAAGTTCCCATACTGACCGACCTGGCCAATGCACCATTTTCCCTATACATGTGCGTTAGATACCTTTCGAACCTTGTTAGCTCACTAGATTTATATATTTCCAACCTTCTGATCGAGTGAGACCACTAGATTCCCTTTATTTTTTGAGAAATGAGCGTTTCCGTTCTCCCTGGCCCCACTTGCACTATAAGTGCGAAATGCCGGCCAGACTGGCCGATGCACCATTTTCTCTACACATGTACGATAGTTACCTTTCAAACCCTTACGTTCACTAGATTAATATATTTCCTACCTTCTATTTGAGTGAGACCACTAGATTCCGTGTACTTTGCGAGATCTGAGCGCTTCCGTTCTCCCTGGCATTTGCACTCTAAGTTCCCATACTGACCGACCTGGCCAATGCACCATTTTCCCTATACATGTGCGTTAGATACCTTTTGAACCTTATTAGCTCAATAGATTTATATATTTCCCACCTTCTGATCGAGTGAGACCGCTAGATTGCCTTTACTTTTTGAGAAATGGGCGTTTCCGTTCTCCCTGGCCCCACTTGCACTATAAGTGCAAAATGCCGGCCAGACTGGCCGATGCACCATTTTCTCTACACATGTGCATTAGTTACCTTTCAAACCCTTACGTTCACTAGATTAATGTATTTCCTACCTTCTATTTGAGTGAGACTACTAGATTCCGTGTACTATGCGAGATCTGAGCGCTTCCGTTCTCCCTGGCATTTGCACTCTAAGTTCCCATACTGACCGACCTGGCCAATGCACCATTTTCCCTATACATGTGCGTTAGATACCTTTCGAACCTTATTAGCTCACTAGATTTATGTATTTCCCACCTTCTGATCGAGTGAGACCGCTGGATTCCCTTTACTTTTTGAGAAATGAGCGTTTCCGTTCTCCCTGGCCCCACTTGCACTATAAGTGCGAAATGCCGGCCAGACTGGCCGATGCACCATTTTCTCTACACATGTGCGTTAGTTACTTTTCAAACCCTTACGTTCACTAGATTAATATATTTCCTACCTTCTATTTGAGTGAGACCTCTAGATTCCATGTACTTTGCGAGATCTGAGCGCTTTCGTTCTCCCTGGCATCTGCACTCTAAATTCCCATACTGACCGACCTGGCCAATGCACCATTTTCCCTATACATGTGCGTTAGATACCTTTCGAACCTTATTAGCTCACTAGATTTATATATTTCCCACCTTCTGATCGAGTGAGACCGCTAGATTCCCTTTACTTTTTGAGAAATGAGCGTTTCCGTTCTCCCTGGCCCCACTTGCACTATAAGTGCGAAATGCCGGCCAGACTGGCCGATGCACCATTTTCTCTACACATGTGCATTAGTTACCTTTCAAACCCTTACGTTCACTAGATTGATATATTTCCTACCTTCTATTTGAGTGAGACCACTAGATTCCGTGTACTATGCGAAATCTGAGCGCTTCCGTTCTCCCTGGCATTTCCACTCTAAGTTCCCATACTGACCGACCTGGCCAATGCACCATTTTCCCTATACATGTGCGTTAGATACCTTTCGAACCTTATTAGCTCACTAGATTTATATATTTGCCACCTTCTGATCGAGTGAGACAGCTAGATTCCCTTTACTTTTTTTAGAAATGAGCGTTTCCGTTCTCCCTGGCCCCACTTGCACTATAAGTGCGAAATGCCGGCCAGACTGGCCGATGCACCATTTTCTCTACACATGTGCGTTAGTTACCTTTCAAACCCTTACGTTCACTAGATTAATATATTTCCTACCTTCTATTTGAGTGAGACCACTAGATTCCGTGTACTTTGCGAGATCTGAGCGCTTCCGTTCTCCTTGGCATTTGCACTCTAAGTTCCCATACTGACCGACCTGGCCAATGCACCATTTTCCCTATACATGTACGCTAGATACCTTTCGAACCTTATTAGCTCAATAGATTTATATATTTCCCACCTTCTGATCGAGTGAGACCGCTAGATTGCATTACGTTTTGAGAAATGAGCGTTTCCGTTCTCCCTGGCCCCACTTGCACTATAAGTGCGAAATGCCGGCCAGACTGGCCGATGCACCATTTTCTCTACACATGTGCGTTAGTTACCTTTCAAACCCTTACGTTCACTAGATTAATATATTTCCTACCTTCTATTTGAGTGAGACCACTAGATTCCGTGTACTATGCGAGATCTGAGAGCTTCCGTTCTCCCTGGCATTTCCACTCAAAGTTCCCATACTGACCGACCTGGCCAATGCACCATTTTCAATATACATGTGCGTTAGATACCTTTTGAACCTTATTATCTCACTAGATTTATATATTTCCCACCTTCCGATCGAGTGAGACCGCTAGATTCCCTTTACTTTTTGAGAAATAAGCGTTTCCGTTCTCCCTGGCCCCACTTGCACTATAAGTGCGAAATGCCGGCCAGACTGGCCGATGCACCATTTTCTCTACACATGTGCGTTAGTTACTTTTCAAACCCTTACGTTCACTAGATTTATATATTTGTTTCCTTCCATTTGAGTGAGACCTCTAGATTCCATGTACTTTGCGAGATCTGAGCACTTTCGTTCTCCCTGGCATCTGCACTCTAAGTTCCCATACTGACTGACTTGGCCAATGCACCATTTTTCCTATACATGTGCGTTAGATACCTTTGGAACCTTATTAGCTCAATAGATTTATATATTTCCCACCTTCTGATCGAGTGAGACCGCTAGATTGCCTTTACTTTTTGAGAAATGAGCGTTTCCGTTCTCCCTGGCCCCACTTGCACTATAAGTGCGAAATGCCGGCCAGACTGGCCGATGCACCATTTTCTCTACACATGTGCGTTAGTTACCTTTCAAACACTTACGTTCACTAGATTAATATATTTCCTACCTTCTATTTGAGTGAGACCACTAGATTCCGTGTACTATGCGAGATCTGAGCGCTTCCGTTCTCCCTGGCATTTCCACTCTAAGTTCCCATACTGACCGACCTGGCCAATGCACCATTTTCCCTATACATGTGCGTTAGATACCTTTCAAACCTTATTAGCTCACTAGATTTATATATTTCCCACCTTCTGATTGAGTGAGACCGCTAGATTCCCTTTACTTTTTGAGAAATAAGCGTTTCCGTTCTCCCTGGCCCCACTTGCACTATAAGTGCGAAATGCCGGCCAGACTGGCCGATGCACCATTTTCTCTACACATGTGCGTTAGTTACTTTTCAAACCCTTACGTTCACTAGATTAATATATTTCCTACCTTCTATTTGAGTGAGACCTCTAGATTCTGTGTACTTTGCGAGATCTAAGCGCTTCCGTTCTCCCTGGCATTTGCACTCTAAGTTCCCATACTGACCGACCTGGCCAATGCACCATTTTCCCTATACATGTGCGTTAGATACCTTTCGAACCTTGTTAGCTCACTAGATTTATATATTTCCAACCTTCTGATCGAGTGAGACCGCTAGATTCTCTTTACTTTTTGAGAAATGAGTGTTTCCGTTCTCCCTGGCCCCACTTGCACTATAAGTGCGAAATGCCGGCCAGACTGGCCGATGCACCATTTTCTCTACACATGTGCGGTAGTTACCTTTCAAACCCTTACGTTCACTAGATTAATATATTTCCTACCTTCTATCACCCCGCCCCATTCTCCCGCTTTCCATCACTCCGCCTCATTCTCCCTCTTTCCATCGCCCCGCCCCATTCTCCCTCTTTCCATTGCCCAGTCCCATTCTCCCGCTTTCCATCTCCCCGCCCCATTCTCCCGCTTTCCATCACCCCGCCCCATTCTCCCGCTTTCCATCACCCCGCCCCATTCTCCCACTTTCAATCACCCCGCCCCATTCTCCCGATTTCCATCACCCCGCCCCATTCTCCCGCTTTCCATCACCCCGCCCCATTCTCCCGCTTTCCATCACCCCGCCCCATTCACCCGCTTTCCATCACCCCGCCCCATTCTCCCGCTTTCCATCACCCCGCCTCATTCTCCCTCTTTCCATCGCCCCGCCCCATTCTCCCTCTTTCCATCACCCCGCCCCATTCTCCATCTTTCCATCGCCCCGCCCCATTCTCCTCTTTCCATCGCCCCGCCCCATTCTCCCGCTTTCCATCACCCGCCCCATTTTCCCGCTTTCAATCACCCCGCCCCATTCTCCCGCTTTCCATCACCCGCCCCATTCTCCCGCTTTCCATCACCCCGCCCCATTCTCCCTCTTTCCATAACCCCGCCCCATTCTCCCTCTTTCCATCACCCCGCCCCATTCTCCCTCTTTCCATCACCCCGCCCCATTCTCCCTCTTTCCATCAACCCGCCCCATTCTCCCGCTTTCCATCACCCCGCCCCATTCTCCCTCTTTCCAACACCCGCCCCATACTCTCTCTTTCCAACACCCGCCCCATTCTCCCTCTTTCCATCACCCCGCCCCATTCTCCCGCTTTCCATCACCCTGCCCCATTCTCCCGCTTCCCATCACCCCGCCTCATTCTCCCGCTTTCCATCACCCCACCCCATTCTCCCGCTTTCCAGCACCCCGCCCCATTCTCCCGCTTTCCATCACCCCGCCCCATTCTCTCGCTTTCCATCACCCCGCCCCTGTCTCCCTCTTTCCATCACCCCGCCCCATTCTCCTGCTTTCCATCACCCGCCCCATTTTCCCGCTTTCCATCACCCCGCCCCATTCTCCCGCTTTTCATCACCCCGCCTCATTCTCCCGCTTTCCATCACCCCGCCCCATTCTCCCGCTTTCCATCACCCTGCCCCATTCTCCCTCTTTCCATCACCCCGCCCCATTCTCCCCCTTTCCATGACCCCGCTCCATTCTCCCTCTTTCCATAACCCCGCCCCATTCTCCCGCTTTCCATCATCCCGCCCCATTCTCCCTCATTCCATCACCCCGCCCCATTCTCCCTCTTTCCATCGCCCAGCCCCATTCTCCCTCTTTCCATCACCCCGCCCCGTTCTCCCTCTTTCCATTACCCCGCCCCGTTCTCCCGCTTTCCATCACCGCGCCCCGTTCTCCCGCTTCTCATCACCCCTCCCCGTTCTCCCTCTTTCCATCACCCCGCCCCGTTCTCCCTCTTTCCATCACCCAGCCCCATTCTCCCGCTTTCCATCACCCCGCCCGATTCTCCCGCTTTCCATCACCCCGCCCCATTCTCCCTCTTTCCATCACCCCGGCCCATTCTCCCTCTTTCCATCACCCCGCCTCATTCTCCCTCTTTCCATCGCCCCGCCCCATTCTCCCTCTTTCCATCGCCCCGCCCCATTCTCCCGCTTTCCATCTCCCCGCCCCATTCTCCCGCTTTCCATCACCCCGCCCCATTCTCCCGCTTTCAATCACCCCGCCCCATTCTCCTGCTTTCCATCACCCCGCCCCATTCTCCCGCTTTCAATCACCCCGCCCCATTCTCCCGCTTTCCATCACCCGCCCCATTCTCCCGCTTTCCGTCACCCCGCCCCATTCTCCCTCTTTCCATCACCCCGCCCCATTCTCCCTCTTTCCATCACCCTGCCCCATTCTCCCTCTTTCCATCAACCCGCCCCATTCTCCCGCTTTCCATCAAACCGCCCAATTCTCCCTCTTTCCATCACCCGCCCCATTCTCTCTCTTTCCATCACCCTGCCCCATTCTCCCTCTTTCCATCACCCCGCCCCATTCTCCCGCTTTCCATCACCCTGCCCCATTCTCCCGCTTTCCATCACCCCGCCTCATTCTCCCGCTTTCCATCACCCCACCACATTCTCCCGCTTTCCAGCACCCCGCCCCATTCTCCCGCTTTCCATCACCCCACCCCATTCTCTCGCTTTCCATCACCCCGCACCATTCTCCCTCTTTCCATCACCCCGCCCCATTCTCCTACTTTCCATCACCCGCCCCATTCTCCCACTTTCCATCACCCCGCCCCATTCTCCCGCTTTCCATCACCCCGCCTCATTCTCCCGCTTTCCATCACCCCGCCCCATTCACCCGCTTTCCATCACCCCGCCCCATTCTCCCTCTTTCCATCACCCCGCCCCATTCTCCCTCTTTCCATCACCCCGCTCCATTCTCCCTCTTTCCATAACCCCGCCCCATTCTCTCGCTTTCCATCATCCCGCCCCATTCTCCCTCATTCCATCACCCCGCCCCATTCTCCCTCTTTCCATCGCCCAGCCCCATTCTCCCTCTTTCCATCACCCCGCCCCGTTCTCCCTCTTTCCATTACCCCGCCCCGTTCTCCTGCTTTCCATCACCGCGCCCCATTCTCCCGCTTTCCATCACCCCGCCCCATTCTCCCGCTTTCCATCACCCCGCCTCATTCTCCCTCTTTCCATCACCCAGCCCCATTCTCCCGCTTTCCATCACCCCGCCCCATTCTCCCGCTTTCCATCACCCTGCCCCATTCTCCCGCTTTCCATCACCCGGCCCCATTCTCCCGCTTTCCATCACCCCGCCTCATTCTCCCTCTTTCCATCGCCCCGCCCCATTCTCCCTCTTTCCATCGCCCCGCCCCATTCTCCCGCTTTCCATCTCCCCGCCCCATTCTCCCGCTTTCCATCACCCCGCCCCATTCTCCCGCTTTCCATCACCCCGCCCCATTCTCCCGCTTTCAATCACCCCGCCCCATTCTCCCGCTTTCCATCACCCCGCCCCATTCTCCTGCTTTCCATAACCCCGCTCCATTCTCCCGCTTTCCATCGCCCCGCCCCAATCTCCCGCTTTCCATCACCCCGCCGCATTCTCCCTCTTTCCATCACCCCGCCCCATTCTGCCTCTTCCCATCGCCCCGCCCCATTCTCCCTCTTTCCATCACCCTGCCCCATTCTCCCGCTTTCCATCACCCTGCTCCATCTCCCTCTTTCCATCGGCCCGCCCCATTCTCCCGCTTTCAAACGCCCCGCCCCATTCTCCCTCTTTCCATCACCCAGCCCCATTCTCCCTCTTTCCAAAACCCAGCCCCATTCTCCCTCTTTCCATCACCCCGCCCCATTCTCCCTCTTTCCATCACCCCGCCCCATTCTCCCTCTTTCCATCACCCAGCCCCATTCTCCCGCTTTCGATCACCCCGCCCCATTCTCCTGCTTTCCATCAGACCGCCCCATTCTCCCGCTTTCCATCACCCCGCCCCATTCTCCCGCTTTCAATCACCCCGCCCCATTCTCCCGCTTTCCATCACCCCGCCCCATTCTCCCGCTTTCCATCACCCCGCCCCATTCTCCCGCTTTCCATCGCCCCGCCCCAATCTCCCGCTTTCCATCACCCCGCCGCATTCTCCCTCTTTCCATCACCCCGCCCCATTCTGCCTCTTCCCATCGCCCCGCCCCATTCTCCCTCTTTCCATCACCCTGCCCCATTCTCCCGCTTTCCATCACCCTGCTCCATCTCCCTCTTTCCATCGGCCCGCCCCATTCTCCCGCTTTCAAACGCCCTGCCCCATTCTCTCTCTTTCCATCACCCAGCCCCATTCTCCCTCTTTCCAAAACCCAGCCCCATTATCCCTCTTTCCATCACCCCGCCCCATTCTCCCTCTTTCCATCAGCCCGCCCCATTCTCCCTCTTTCCATCACCCAGCCCCATTCTCCCGCTTTCGATCACCCCGCCCCATTCTCCCGCTTTCCATCAGCCCGCCCCATTCTCCCGCTTTCCATCACCCCGCCCCATTCTCCCGCTTTCAATCACCCCGCCCCATTCTCCCGCTTTCCATCAGCCCGCCCCATTCTCCCGCTTTCCATCAGCCCGCCCCATTCTCCCGCTTTCCATCAGCCCGCCCCATTCTCCCGCTTTCCATCACTAAGACACAGAGATGGAGGTGCGCTTCGAGTCGACTCACAAGTCGCGCGAGGCAGAGCGACAAGGGCACCGAGATGGAGAGGTGCGTGGGGCTCACTACGACACAGAGATGGAGGTGCGCTTCGAGTCGACTCACAAGTCGCGCGAGGCAGAGCGACAAGGGCACCGAGATGGAGAGGTGCGTGGGGCTCACTACGACACAGAGATGGAGGTGCGCTTCGAGTCGACTCACAAGTCGCGCGAGGCAGAGCCACAAGGGCACCGAGATGGAGAGGTGCGTGGGGCTCACTACGACACAGAGATGGAGGTGCGCTTCGAGTCGACTCACAAGTCGCGCGAGGCAGAGCCACAAGGGCACCGAGATGGAGAGGTGCGTGGGGCTCACTACGACACAGAGATGGAGGTGCGCTTCGAGTCGACTCACAAGTCGCGCGAGGCAGGGTGCGTTTTGAGTCGACTCACAAGTCGCGCGAGGCAGAGCGACAAGGGCACCGAGATGGAGAGGTGCGTGGGGCTCACTACGACACAGAGATGGAGGTGCGTTTTGAGTCGACTCACAAGTTGCGTGCGGCAGAGCGACAAGGGCACCGGCGACAAGGGCACCGAGATGGAGAGGTGCGTGGGGCTCGCTACGACACAGAGATGGAGGTGCGTTTTGAGTCGACTCACAAGTCGCGCGAGGCAGAGCGACAAGGGCACCGAGATGGAGAGGTGCGTGGGGCTCGCTACGACACAGAGATGGAGGTGCGTTTTGAGTCGACTCACAAGTCGCGCGAGGCAGAGCGACAAGGGCACCGAGATGGAGAGGTGCGTGGGGCTCGCTACGACACAGAGATGGAGGTGCGTTTTGAGTCGACTCACAAGTCGCGCGAGGCAGAGCGACAAGGGCACCGAGATGGAGAGGTGCGTGGGGCTCGCTACGACACAGAGATGGAGGTGCGTTTTGAGTCGACTCACAAGTCGCGCGAGGCAGAGCGACAAGGGCACCGAGATGGAGAGGTGCGTGGGGCTCGCTACGACACAGAGATGGAGGTGCGTTTTGAGTCGACTCACAAGTCGCGCGAGGCAGAGCGACAAGGGCACCGAGATGGAGAGGTGCGTGGGGCTCGCTACGACACAGAGATGGAGGTGCGTTTTGAGTCGACTCACAAGTCGCGCGAGGCAGAGCGACAAGGGCACCGAGATGGAGAGGTGCGTGGGGCTCGCTACGACACAGAGATGGAGGTGCGTTTTGAGTCGACTCACAAGTCGCGCGAGGCAGAGCGACAAGGGCACCGAGATGGAGAGGTGCGTGGGGCTCGCTACGACACAGAGATGGAGGTGCGTTTTGAGTCGACTCACAAGTCGCGCGAGGCAGAGCGACAAGGGCACCGAGATGGAGAGGTGCGTGGGGCTCGCTACGACACAGAGATGGAGGTGCGTTTTGAGTCGACTCACAAGTCGCGCGAGGCAGAGCGACAAGGGCACCGAGATGGAGAGGTGCGTGGGGCTCGCTACGACACAGAGATGGAGGTGCGTTTTGAGTCGACTCACAAGTCGCGCGAGGCAGAGCGACAAGGGCACCGAGATGGAGAGGTGCGTGGGGCTCGCTACGACACAGAGATGGAGGTGCGTTTTGAGTCGACTCACAAGTCGCGCGAGGCAGAGCGACAAGGGCACCGAGATGGAGAGGTGCGTGGGGCTCGCTACGACACAGAGATGGAGGTGCGTTTTGAGTCGACTCACAAGTCGCGCGAGGCAGAGCGACAAGGGCACCGAGATGGAGAGGTGCGTGGGGCTCGCTACGACACAGAGATGGAGGTGCGTTTTGAGTCGACTCACAAGTCGCGCGAGGCAGAGCGACAAGGGCACCGAGATGGAGAGGTGCGTGGGGCTCGCTACGACACAGAGATGGAGGTGCGTTTTGAGTCGACTCACAAGTCGCGCGAGGCAGAGCGACAAGGGCACCGAGATGGAGAGGTGCGTGGGGCTCGCTACGACACAGAGATGGAGGTGCGTTTTGAGTCGACTCACAAGTCGCGCGAGGCAGAGCGACAAGGGCACCGAGATGGAGAGGTGCGTGGGGCTCGCTACGACACAGAGATGGAGGTGCGTTTTGAGTCGACTCACAAGTCGCGCGAGGCAGAGCGACAAGGGCACCGAGATGGAGAGGTGCGTGGGGCTCGCTACGACACAGAGATGGAGGTGCGTTTTGAGTCGACTCACAAGTCGCGCGAGGCAGAGCGACAAGGGCACCGAGATGGAGAGGTGCGTGGGGCTCGCTACGACACAGAGATGGAGGTGCGTTTTGAGTCGACTCACAAGTCGCGCGAGGCAGAGCGACAAGGGCACCGAGATGGAGAGGTGCGTGGGGCTCGCTACGACACAGAGATGGAGGTGCGTTTTGAGTCGACTCACAAGTCGCGCGAGGCAGAGCGACAAGGGCACCGAGATGGAGAGGTGCGTGGGGCTCGCTACGACACAGAGATGGAGGTGCGTTTTGAGTCGACTCACAAGTCGCGCGAGGCAGAGCGACAAGGGCACCGAGATGGAGAGGTGCGTGGGGCTCGCTACGACACAGAGATGGAGGTGCGTTTTGAGTCGACTCACAAGTCGCGCGAGGCAGAGCGACAAGGGCACCGAGATGGAGAGGTGCGTGGGGCTCGCTACGACACAGAGATGGAGGTGCGTTTTGAGTCGACTCACAAGTCGCGCGAGGCAGAGCGACAAGGGCACCGAGATGGAGAGGTGCGTGGGGCTCGCTACGACACAGAGATGGAGGTGCGTTTTGAGTCGACTCACAAGTCGCGCGAGGCAGAGCGACAAGGGCACCGAGATGGAGAGGTGCGTGGGGCTCGCTACGACACAGAGATGGAGGTGCGTTTTGAGTCGACTCACAAGTCGCGCGAGGCAGAGCGACAAGGGCACCGAGATGGAGAGGTGCGTGGGGCTCGCTACGACACAGAGATGGAGGTGCGTTTTGAGTCGACTCACAAGTCGCGCGAGGCAGAGCGACAAGGGCACCGAGATGGAGAGGTGCGTGGGGCTCGCTACGACACAGAGATGGAGGTGCGTTTTGAGTCGACTCACAAGTCGCGCGAGGCAGAGCGACAAGGGCACCGAGATGGAGAGGTGCGTGGGGCTCGCTACGACACAGAGATGGAGGTGCGTTTTGAGTCGACTCACAAGTCGCGCGAGGCAGAGCGACAAGGGCACCGAGATGGAGAGGTGCGTGGGGCTCGCTACGACACAGAGATGGAGGTGCGTTTTGAGTCGACTCACAAGTCGCGCGAGGCAGAGCGACAAGGGCACCGAGATGGAGAGGTGCGTGGGGCTCGCTACGACACAGAGATGGAGGTGCGTTTTGAGTCGACTCACAAGTCGCGCGAGGCAGAGCGACAAGGGCACCGAGATGGAGAGGTGCGTGGGGCTCGCTACGACACAGAGATGGAGGTGCGTTTTGAGTCGACTCACAAGTCGCGCGAGGCAGAGCGACAAGGGCACCGAGATGGAGAGGTGCGTGGGGCTCGCTACGACACAGAGATGGAGGTGCGTTTTGAGTCGACTCACAAGTCGCGCGAGGCAGAGCGACAAGGGCACCGAGATGGAGAGGTGCGTGGGGCTCGCTACGACACAGAGATGGAGGTGCGTTTTGAGTCGACTCACAAGTCGCGAGGCAGAGCGACAAGGGCACCGAGATGGAGAGGTGCGTGGGGCTCGCTACGACACAGAGATGGAGGTGCGTTTTGAGTCGACTCACAAGTCGCGCGAGGCAGAGCGACAAGGGCACCGAGATGGAGAGGTGCGTGGGGCTCGCTACGACACAGAGATGGAGGTGCGTTTTGACTCGACTCACAAGTCGCGCGAGGCAGAGCGACAAGGGCACGGAGATGGAGAGGTGCGTGGGGCTCGCTACGACACAGAGATGGAGGTGCGTTTTGACTCGACTCACAAGTCGCGCGAGGCAGAGCGACAAGGGCACGGAGATGGAGAGGTGCGTGGGGCTCACTACGACACAGAGATGGAGGTGCGTTTTGAGTCGACTCACAAGTCGCGCGAGGCAGAGCGACAAGGGCATCGAGATGGAGAGGTGCGTGGGGCTCACTACGACACAGAGATGGAGGTGCGTTTTGAGTCGACTCACAAGTCTTGAGTCGACTCACAAGTCGCGTGAGGCAGAGCGACAAGGGCACTGAGATGGAGAGGTGCGTGGGGCTCACTACGACACAGAGATGGAGGTGCGTTTTGAGTCGACTCACAAATCGCGCGAGGCAGAGCGACAAGGGCACTGAGATGGAGAGGTGCGTGGGGCTCACTACGACACAGAGATGGAGGTGCGTTTTTTTAGTCGACTCACAAGTCACGCGAGGCAGAGCGACAAGGGCACCGAGATGGAGAGGTGCGTGGGGCTCACTACGACACAGAGATGGAGGTGCGCTCTGAGTCGACTCACAATTCGCGCGAGGCAGAGCGACAAGGGCACCGAGATGGAGAGGTGCGTGGGGCTCACTATGACACAGAGATGGAGGTGCGTTTTGAGTCGACTCACAAGTCGCGCGCAGCAGAGCGACAAGGGCACCGAGATGGAGAGGTGCGTGGGGCTCACTACGACACAGAGATGGAGGTGCTTTTTGAGTCGACTCACAAGTCGCGTGAGGCAGAGCGACAAGGGCACCGAGATGGAGAGGTGCGTGGGGCTCACTACGACACAGAGATGGAGGTGCGCTCTGAGTCGACTCACAATTCGCGTGAGGCAGAGCGACAAGGGCACCGAGATGGAGAGGTGCGTGGGGCTCACTACGACACAGAGATGGAGGTGCGTTTTGAGTCGACTCACAAGTCGCGTGAGGCAGTGCGACAAGGGCACCGAGATGGAGAGGTGCGTGGGGCTCACTACGACACAGAGATGGAGGTGCGTTTTGAGTCGAGCGAGGCAGAGCGACAAGGGCACCGAGATGGAGAGGTGCGTGGGGCTCACTACGACACAGAGATGGAGGTGCGTTTTGAGTCGACTCACAAGTCGCGCGAGGCAGAGCGACAAGGGCACCGAGATGGAGAGGTGCGTGGGGCTCACTACGACACAGAGATGGAGGTGCGTTTTGAGTCGACTCACAAGTCGCGCGAGGCAGAGCTACAAGGGCACCGAGATGGAGAGGTGCGTGGGGCTCACTACGACACAGAGATGGAGGTGCGTTTTGAGTCGACTCACAAGTCGCGTGAGGCAGTGCTACAAGGGCATCGAGATGGAGAGGTGCGTGGGGCTCAATACGACACAGAGATGGAGGTGCGTTTTGAGTCGACTCACAAGTCACGCGAGGCAGAGCGACAAGGGCATCGAGATGGAGAGGTGCGTGGGGCTCACTACGACACAGAGATGGAGGTGCGTTTTGAGTCGACTCACAAGTCACGCGAGGCAGAGCGACAAGGGCACTGAGATGGAGAGGTGCGTGGGGCTCACTACGACACAGAGATGGAGGTGCGTTTTGAGTCTACTCACAAGTCACGCGAGGCAGAGCGACAAGGGCTTGATGGAGAGGTGCGTGGGGCTCACTACGACACAGAGATGGAGGTGCGTTTTGAGTCGACTCACAAGTCACGCGAGGCAGAGCGACAAGGGCACCGAGATGGAGAGGTGCGTGACAAGAGATGGAGAGGTGCGTGGGGCTCACTACGACACAGAGATGGAGGTGCTTTTTGAGTCGACTCACAAGTCGCGCGAGGCAGAGCGACAAGGGCACCGAGATGGAGAGGTGCGTGGGGCTCACTACGACACAGAGATGGAGGTGCTTTTTGAGTCGACTCACAAGTCGCGCGAGGCAGAGCGACAAGGGCACCGAGATGGAGAGGTGCGCGGGGCTCACTACGACACAGAGATGGAGGTGCGTTTTGAGTCGACTCACAAGTCGCGCGAGGCAGAGCGACAAGGGCACCGAGATGGAGAGGTGCGCGGGGCTCACTACGACACAGAGATGGAGGTGCGTTTTGAGTCGACTCACAAGTCGCGCGAGGCAGAGCGACAAGGGCACCGAGATGGAGAGGTGCGCGGGGCTCACTACGACACAGAGATGGAGGTGCGCTTTGAGTCGACTCACAAGTCGCGCGAGGCAGAGCGACAAGGGCACCGAGATGGAGAGGTGCGCGGGGCTCACTACGACACAGAGATGGAGGTGCGCTTTGAGTCGACTCACAAGTCGCGCGAGGCAGAGCGACAAGGGCACCGAGATGGAGAGGTGCGCGGGGCTCACTACGACACAGAGATGGAGGTGCGCTTTGAGTCGACTCACAAGTCGCGCGAGGCAGAGCGACAAGGGCACCGAGATGGAGAGGTGCGCGGGGCTCACTACGACACAGAGATGGAGGTGCGCTTTGAGTCGACTCACAAGTCGCGCGAGGCAGAGCGACAAGGGCACCGAGATGGAGAGGTGCGCGGGGCTCACTACGACACAGAGATGGAGGTGCGCTTTGAGTCGACTCACAAGTCGCGCGAGGCAGAGCGACAAGGGCACCGAGATGGAGAGGTGCGCGGGGCTCACTACGACACAGAGATGGAGGTGCGCTTTGAGTCGACTCACAAGTCGCGCGAGGCAGAGCGACAAGGGCACCGAGATGGAGAGGTGCGCGGGGCTCACTACGACACAGAGATGGAGGTGCGCTTTGAGTCGACTCACAAGTCGCGCGAGGCAGAGCGACAAGGGCACCGAGATGGAGAGGTGCGCGGGGCTCACTACGACACAGAGATGGAGGTGCGCTTTGAGTCGACTCACAAGTCGCGCGAGGCAGAGCGACAAGGGCACCGAGATGGAGAGGTGCGCGGGGCTCACTACGACACAGAGATGGAGGTGCGCTTTGAGTCGACTCACAAGTCGCGCGAGGCAGAGCGACAAGGGCACCGAGATGGAGAGGTGCGCGGGGCTCACTACGACACAGAGATGGAGGTGCGCTTTGAGTCGACTCACAAGTCGCGCGAGGCAGAGCGACAAGGGCACCGAGATGGAGAGGTGCGCGGGGCTCACTACGACACAGAGATGGAGGTGCGCTTTGAGTCGACTCACAAGTCGCGCGAGGCAGAGCGACAAGGGCACCGAGATGGAGAGGTGCGCGGGGCTCACTACGACACAGAGATGGAGGTGCGCTTTGAGTCGACTCACAAGTCGCGCGAGGCAGAGCGACAAGGGCACCGAGATGGAGAGGTGCGCGGGGCTCACTACGACACAGAGATGGAGGTGCGCTTTGAGTCGACTCACAAGTCGCGCGAGGCAGAGCGACAAGGGCACCGAGATGGAGAGGTGCGCGGGGCTCACTACGACACAGAGATGGAGGTGCGCTTTGAGTCGACTCACAAGTCGCGCGAGGCAGAGCGACAAGGGCACCGAGATGGAGAGGTGCGCGGGGCTCACTACGACACAGAGATGGAGGTGCGCTTTGAGTCGACTCACAAGTCGCGCGAGGCAGAGCGACAAGGGCACCGAGATGGAGAGGTGCGCGGGGCTCACTACGACACAGAGATGGAGGTGCGCTTTGAGTCGACTCACAAGTCGCGCGAGGCAGAGCGACAAGGGCACCGAGATGGAGAGGTGCGCGGGGCTCACTACGACACAGAGATGGAGGTGCGCTTTGAGTCGACTCACAAGTCGCGCGAGGCAGAGCGACAAGGGCACCGAGATGGAGAGGTGCGCGGGGCTCACTACGACACAGAGATGGAGGTGCGCTTTGAGTCGACTCACAAGTCGCGCGAGGCAGAGCGACAAGGGCACCGAGATGGAGAGGTGCGCGGGGCTCACTACGACACAGAGATGGAGGTGCGCTTTGAGTCGACTCACAAGTCGCGCGAGGCAGAGCGACAAGGGCACCGAGATGGAGAGGTGCGCGGGGCTCACTACGACACAGAGATGGAGGTGCGCTTTGAGTCGACTCACAAGTCGCGCGAGGCAGAGCGACAAGGGCACCGAGATGGAGAGGTGCGCGGGGCTCACTACGACACAGAGATGGAGGTGCGCTTTGAGTCGACTCACAAGTCGCGCGAGGCAGAGCGACAAGGGCACCGAGATGGAGAGGTGCGCGGGGCTCACTACGACACAGAGATGGAGGTGCGCTTTGAGTCGACTCACAAGTCGCGCGAGGCAGAGCGACAAGGGCACCGAGATGGAGAGGTGCGCGGGGCTCACTACGACACAGAGATGGAGGTGCGCTTTGAGTCGACTCACAAGTCGCGCGAGGCAGAGCGACAAGGGCACCGAGATGGAGAGGTGCGCGGGGCTCACTACGACACAGAGATGGAGGTGCGCTTTGAGTCGACTCACAAGTCGCGCGAGGCAGAGCGACAAGGGCACCGAGATGGAGAGGTGCGCGGGGCTCACTACGACACAGAGATGGAGGTGCGCTTTGAGTCGACTCACAAGTCGCGCGAGGCAGAGCGACAAGGGCACCGAGATGGAGAGGTGCGCGGGGCTCACTACGACACAGAGATGGAGGTGCGCTTTGAGTCGACTCACAAGTCGCGCGAGGCAGAGCGACAAGGGCACCGAGATGGAGAGGTGCGCGGGGCTCACTACGACACAGAGATGGAGGTGCGCTTTGAGTCGACTCACAAGTCGCGCGAGGCAGAGCGACAAGGGCACCGAGATGGAGAGGTGCGCGGGGCTCACTACGACACAGAGATGGAGGTGCGCTTTGAGTCGACTCACAAGTCGCGCGAGGCAGAGCGACAAGGGCACCGAGATGGAGAGGTGCGCGGGGCTCACTACGACACAGAGATGGAGGTGCGCTTTGAGTCGACTCACAAGTCGCGCGAGGCAGAGCGACAAGGGCACCGAGATGGAGAGGTGCGCGGGGCTCACTACGACACAGAGATGGAGGTGCGCTTTGAGTCGACTCACAAGTCGCGCGAGGCAGAGCGACAAGGGCACCGAGATGGAGAGGTGCGCGGGGCTCACTACGACACAGAGATGGAGGTGCGCTTTGAGTCGACTCACAAGTCGCGCGAGGCAGAGCGACAAGGGCACCGAGATGGAGAGGTGCGCGGGGCTCACTACGACACAGAGATGGAGGTGCGCTTTGAGTCGACTCACAAGTCGCGCGAGGCAGAGCGACAAGGGCACCGAGATGGAGAGGTGCGCGGGGCTCACTACGACACAGAGATGGAGGTGCGCTTTGAGTCGACTCACAAGTCGCGCGAGGCAGAGCGACAAGGGCACCGAGATGGAGAGGTGCGCGGGGCTCACTACGACACAGAGATGGAGGTGCGCTTTGAGTCGACTCACAAGTCGCGCGAGGCAGAGCGACAAGGGCACCGAGATGGAGAGGTGCGCGGGGCTCACTACGACACAGAGATGGAGGTGCGCTTTGAGTCGACTCACAAGTCGCGCGAGGCAGAGCGACAAGGGCACCGAGATGGAGAGGTGCGCGGGGCTCACTACGACACAGAGATGGAGGTGCGCTTTGAGTCGACTCACAAGTCGCGCGAGGCAGAGCGACAAGGGCACCGAGATGGAGAGGTGCGCGGGGCTCACTACGACACAGAGATGGAGGTGCGCTTTGAGTCGACTCACAAGTCGCGCGAGGCAGAGCGACAAGGGCACCGAGATGGAGAGGTGCGCGGGGCTCACTACGACACAGAGATGGAGGTGCGCTTTGAGTCGACTCACAAGTCGCGCGAGGCAGAGCGACAAGGGCACCGAGATGGAGAGGTGCGCGGGGCTCACTACGACACAGAGATGGAGGTGCGCTTTGAGTCGACTCACAAGTCGCGCGAGGCAGAGCGACAAGGGCACCGAGATGGAGAGGTGCGCGGGGCTCACTACGACACAGAGATGGAGGTGCGCTTTGAGTCGACTCACAAGTCGCGCGAGGCAGAGCGACAAGGGCACCGAGATGGAGAGGTGCGCGGGGCTCACTACGACACAGAGATGGAGGTGCGCTTTGAGTCGACTCACAAGTCGCGCGAGGCAGAGCGACAAGGGCACCGAGATGGAGAGGTGCGCGGGGCTCACTACGACACAGAGATGGAGGTGCGCTTTGAGTCGACTCACAAGTCGCGCGAGGCAGAGCGACAAGGGCACCGAGATGGAGAGGTGCGCGGGGCTCACTACGACACAGAGATGGAGGTGCGCTTTGAGTCGACTCACAAGTCGCGCGAGGCAGAGCGACAAGGGCACCGAGATGGAGAGGTGCGCGGGGCTCACTACGACACAGAGATGGAGGTGCGCTTTGAGTCGACTCACAAGTCGCGCGAGGCAGAGCGACAAGGGCACCGAGATGGAGAGGTGCGCGGGGCTCACTACGACACAGAGATGGAGGTGCGCTTTGAGTCGACTCACAAGTCGCGCGAGGCAGAGCGACAAGGGCACCGAGATGGAGAGGTGCGCGGGGCTCACTACGACACAGAGATGGAGGTGCGCTTTGAGTCGACTCACAAGTCGCGCGAGGCAGAGCGACAAGGGCACCGAGATGGAGAGGTGCGCGGGGCTCACTACGACACAGAGATGGAGGTGCGCTTTGAGTCGACTCACAAGTCGCGCGAGGCAGAGCGACAAGGGCACCGAGATGGAGAGGTGCGCGGGGCTCACTACGACACAGAGATGGAGGTGCGCTTTGAGTCGACTCACAAGTCGCGCGAGGCAGAGCGACAAGGGCACCGAGATGGAGAGGTGCGCGGGGCTCACTACGACACAGAGATGGAGGTGCGCTTTGAGTCGACTCACAAGTCGCGCGAGGCAGAGCGACAAGGGCACCGAGATGGAGAGGTGCGCGGGGCTCACTACGACACAGAGATGGAGGTGCGCTTTGAGTCGACTCACAAGTCGCGCGAGGCAGAGCGACAAGGGCACCGAGATGGAGAGGTGCGCGGGGCTCACTACGACACAGAGATGGAGGTGCGCTTTGAGTCGACTCACAAGTCGCGCGAGGCAGAGCGACAAGGGCACCGAGATGGAGAGGTGCGCGGGGCTCACTACAGCACAGAGATGGAGGTGCGCTTTGAGTCGACTCACAAGTCGCGGGAGGCAGAGCGACAAGGGCACCGAGATGGAGAGGTGCGCGGGGCTCACTACGCCACAGAGATGGAGGTGCGCTTTGAGTCGACTCACAAGTCGCGGGAGGCAGAGCGACAAGGGCACCGAGATGGAGAGGTGCGCGGGGCTCAATACAGCACAGAGATGGAGGTGCGCTTTGAGTCGACTCACAAGTCGCGGGAGGCAGAGCGACAAGGGCACCGAGAGGGAGAGGTGCGCGGGGCTCAATACAGCACAGAGATGGAGGTGCGCTTTGAGTCGACTCACAAGTCGCGGGAGGCAGAGCGACAAGGGCACCGAGAGGGAGAGGTGCGCGGGGCTCAATACAGCACAGAGATGGAGGTGCGCTTTGAGTCGACTCACAAGTCGCGGGAGGCAGAGCGACAAGGGCACTGAGATGGAGAGATGGGCGGAGCTCGGGGCTCAATACAGCACAGAGATGGAGGTGCGCTTTGAGTCGACTCACAAGTCACGTGAGGCAGAGCGACAAGGGCAGTGAGATGGAGAGGTGCGTGGGGCTCAATACAGCACAGAGATGGAGGTGCGTTTTGAGTCGACTCACAAGTCACGGGAGGCAGAGCGACAAGGGCACTGAGATGGAGAGGTGCGTGGGGCTCAATACAGCACAGAGATGGAGGTGCGCTTTGAGTCGACTCACAAGTCACGTGAGGCAGAGCGACAAGGGCACTGAGATGGAGAGGTGCGTGGGGCTCAATACAGCACAGAGATGGAGGTGCGCTTCGACTCACAAGTCACGGGAGGCAGAGCGACAAGGGCACTGAGATGGAGAGGTGCGCGGGGCTCAATACAGCACAGAGATGGAGGTGCGCTTTGAGTCGACTCACAAGTCACGTGAGGCAGAGCGACAAGGGCACTGAGATGGAGAGGTGCGCGGGGCTCAATACAGCACAGAGATGGAGGTGCGCTTTGAGTCGACTCACAAGTCACGTGAGGCAGAGCGACAAGGGCACTGAGATGGAGAGGTGCGCGGGGCTCAATACAGCACAGAGATGGAGGTGCGCTTTGAGTCGACTCACAAGTCACGTGAGGCAGAGCGACAAGGGCACTGAGATGGAGAGGTGCGCGGGGCTCAATACAACACAGAGATGGAGGTGCGCTTTGAGTCGACTCACAAGTCCAAGAGGCAGAGCGACAAGGGCACTGAGATGGAGAGGTGCGCGGGGCTCAATACAACACAGAGATGGAGGTGCGCTTTGAGTCGACTCACAAGTCACGTGAGGCAGAGCGACAAGGGCACTGAGATGGAGAGGTGAGTGGGGCTCAATACATCACAGAGATGGAGGTGCGCTTTGAGTCGACTCACAAGTCACGTGAGGCAGAGCGACAAGGGCAGTGAGATGGAGAGGTGCGTGGGACTCAATACAGCACAGAGATGGAGGTGCGCTTTGAGTCGACTCAAACGTCACGTGAGGCAGAGAGACAAGGGCAGTGAGATGGAGAGGTGCGTGGGGCTCAATACAGCACAAAGATGGAGGTGCGCTTTGAGTCGACTCCGACGACACGTGAGGCAGAGCGACAAGGGCACTGAGATGGAGAGGTGCGTGGGGCTCAATACAGCACAGAGATGGAGGTGCGCTTTGAGTCGACTCACAAGTCACGTGAGGCAGAGCGACAAGGGCACTGAGATGGAGAGGTGCGTGGGGCTCAATACGACACAGAGATGGAGGTGCGCTTTGAGTCGACTCACAAGTCACGTGAGGCAGAGCAACAAGGGCACTGAGATGGAGAGGTGCGTGAGGCTCAATACGACACAGAGATGGAGGTGCGCTTTGAGTCGACTCACAAGTCACGTGAGGCAGAGCGACAAGGGCACTGAGATGGAGAGGTGCGTGGGGCTCAATACGACACAGAGATGGAGGTGCGCTTTGAGTCGACTCACAAGTCACGTGAGGCAGAGCGACAAGGGCACTGAGATGGAGAGGTGCGTGGGGCTCACTACGACACCGAGATGGAGGTACGTTTTGAGTCGACTCACAAGTCACGTGAGGCAGAGCGACAAGGGCACTGAGATGGAGAGGTGCGTGGGGCTCACTACGACACCGAGATGGAGGTGCGTTTTGAGTCGACTCACAAGTCACGTGAGGCAGAGCGACAAGGGCACTGAGACGGAGAGGTGCGTGGGGCTCACTACGACACAGAGATGGAGGTGCGTTTTGAGTCGACTCACAAGTCACGTGAGGCAGAGCGACAAGGGCACTGAGACGGAGAGGTGCGTGGGGCTCACTACGACACAGAGATGGAGGTGCGCTTTGAGTCGACTCACAAGTCACGTGAGGCAGAACGACAAGGGCACTGAGACGGAGAGGTGAGTGGGGCTCACTACAACACAGAGATGGAGGTGCGCTTTGAGTCGACTCACAAGTCACGTGAGGCAGAGCGACAAGGGCAGTGAGAGGGAGAGGTGCGTGGGGCTCAATACAGCACAGAGATGGAGGTGCGCTTTGAGTCGACTCATACGTCACGTGAGGCAGAGCGACAAGGGCACTGAGATGGAGAGGTGCGTGGGGCTCAATACAGCACAAAGATGGAGGTGCGCTTTGAGTCGACTCCGACGTCACGTGAGGCAGAGCGACAAGGGCACTGAGATGGAGAGGTGCGTGGGGCTCAATACAGCACAGAGATGGAGGTGCGCTTTGAGTCGACTCACAAGTCACGTGAGGCAGAGCGACAAGGGCACTGAGATGGAGAGGTGCGAGGGGCTCAATAGAACACAGAGATGGAGGTGCGCTTTGAGTCGACTCACAAGTCACGTGAGGCAGAGCGACAAGGGCACTGAGATGGAGAGATGCGTGGGGCTCAATACGACACAGAGATGGAGGTGCGCTTTGAGTCGACTCACAAGTCACGTGAGGCAGAGCAACAAGGGCACTGAGATGGAGAGGTGCGTGAGGCTCAATACGACACAGAGATGGAGGTGCGCTTTGAGTCGACTCACAAGTCCAAGAGGCAGAGCAACAAGGGCACTGAGATGGAGAGGTGCGTGGGGCTCAATACGACACAGAGATGGAGGTGCGCTTTGAGTCGACTCACAAGTCACGTGAGGCAGAGCGACAAGGGCACTGAGATGGAGAGGTGCGTGGGGCTCACTACGACACCGAGATGGAGGTACGTTTTGAGTCGACTCACAAGTCACGTGAGGCAGAGCGACAAGGGCACTGAGATGGAGATGTGCGTGGGGCTCACTACGACACAGAGATGGAGGTGCGTTTTGAGTCGACTCACAAGTCACGTGAGGCAGAGCGACAAGGGCACTGAGATAGAGAGGTGCGTGAGGCTCACTACGACACAGAGATGGAGGTGCGTTTTGAGTCGACTCACAAGTCACGTGAGGCAGAGCGACAAGGGCACTGAGACGGAGAGGTGCGTGGGGCTCACTACGACACAGAGATGGAGGTGCCCTTTGAGTCGACTCACAAGTCACGTGAGGCAGAACGACAAGGGCACTGAGACGGAGAGGTGCGTGGGGCTCACTACAACACAGAGATGGAGGTGCGCTTTGAGTCGACTCACAAGTCACGTGAGGCAGAGCGACAAGGGCAGTGAGATGGAGAGGTGCGTGGGGCTCAATACAGCACAGAGATGGAGGTGCGCTTTGAGTCGACTCATACGTCACGTGAGGCAGAGCGACAACGGCACTGAGATGGAGAGGTGCGTGGGGCTCAATACAGCACAAAGATGGAGGTGCGCTTTGAGTCGACTCACAAGTCACGTGAGGCAGAGCGACAAGGGCACTGAGATGGAGAGGTGCGTGGGGCTCAATACGACACAGAGATGGAGGTGCGCTTTGAGTCGACTCACAAGTCCAAGAGGCAGAGCGACAAGGGCACTGAGATGGAGAGGTGCGTGGGGCTCAATACGACACAGAGATGGAGGTGCGCTTTGAGTCGACTCACAAGTCACGTGAGGCAGAGCGACAAGGGCACTGAGATGGAGAGGTGCGTGGGGCTCACTGCGACACCGAGATGGAGGTGCGCTTTGAGTCGACTCACAAGTCACGTGAGGCAGAGCGACAAGGGCACTGAGATGGAGATGTGCGTGGGGCTCACTACGACACCGAGATGGAGGTGCGTTTTGAGTCGACTCACAAGTCACGTGAGGCAGAGCGACAAGGGCACTGAGATGGAGAGGTGCGTGAGGCTCACTACGACACAGAGATGGAGGTGCGCTTTGAGTCGACTCACAAGTCCAAGAGGCAGAGCGACAAGGGCACTGAGATGGAGAGGTGCGTGGGGCTCAATACGACACAGAGATGGAGGTGCGCTTTGAGTCGACTCACAAGTCACGTGAGGCAGAGCGACAAGGGCACTGAGATGGAGAGGTGCGTGGGGCTCACTGCGACACCGAGATGGAGGTGCGCTTTGAGTCGACTCACAAGTCACGTGAGGCAGAGCGACAAGGGCACTGAGATGGAGATGTGCGTGGGGCTCACTACGACACCGAGATGGAGGTGCGTTTTGAGTCGACTCACAAGTCACGTGAGGCAGAGCGACAAGGGCACTGAGATGGAGAGGTGCGTGAGGCTCACTACGACACAGAGATGGAGGTGCGTTTTGAGTCGACTCACAAGTCACGTGAGGCAGAGCGACAAGGGCACTGAGATGGAGAGGTGCGTGAGGCTCACTACGACACAGAGATGGAGGTGCGCTTTGAGTCGACTCACAAGTCCAAGAGGCAGAGCGACAAGGGCACTGAGATGGAGAGGTGCGTGAGGCTCAATACGACACAGAGATGGAGGTGCGTGGGGCTCAATACAACACAAAGATGGAGGTGCGCTTTGAGTCGACTGACAAGTCACGTGAGGCAGAGCTTCAAGGGCACTGAGATGGAGAGGTGCGTGAGGCTCAATACGACACAGAGATGGAGGTGCGCTTTGAGTCGACTCACAAGTCACGTGAGGCAGAGCTTCAAGGGCACTGAGATGGAGAGGTGCGTGAGGCTCAATACGACACAGAGATGGAGGTGCGCTTTGAGTCGACTCACAAGTCCAAGAGGCAGAGCGACAAGGGCACTGAGATGGAGAGGTGCGTGAGGCTCAATACGACACAGAGATGGAGGTGCGCTTTGAGTCGACTCACAAGTCCAAGAGGCAGAGCGACAAGGGCACTGAGATGGAGAGGTGCGTGGGGCTCAATACGACACAGAGATGGAGGTGCGCTTTGAGTCGACTCACAAGTCACGTGAGGCAGAGCGACAAGGGCACTGAGCTGGAGAGGTTCGTGGGGCTGAATACATGACAAAGATGGAGGTGCGCTTTGAGTCGACTCACAAGTCACGTGAGGCAGAGCGACAAGGGCAGTGAGATGGAGAGGTTCGTGGGGCTCAATACAGCACAGAGATGGAGGTGCGCTTTGAGTCGACTCACACGTCACGTGAGGCAGAGCGACAAGGGCACTGAGATGGAGAGGTGCGTGGGGCTGAATACATGACAAAGATGGAGGTGCGCTTTGAGTCGACTCACAAGTCACGTGAGGCAGAGCGACAAGGGCACTGAGATGGAGAGGTGCGTGGGGCTCAATACAGCACAGAGATGGAGGTGCGCTTTGAGTCGACTCACAAGTCACGTGAGGCAGAGCGACAAGGGCACTGAGATGGAGAGGTGCGTGGGGCTCAATACAGCACAGAGATGGAGGTGCGCTTTGAGTCGACTCACAAGTCACGTGAGGCAGAGCGACAAGGGCACTGAGATGGAGAGGTGCGTGGGGCTCAATACAGCACAGAGATGGAGGTGCGCTTTGAGTCGACTCACAAGTCACGTGAGGCAGAGCGACAAGGGCACTGAGATGGAGAGGTGCGTGGGCCTCAATACGACACAAAGATGGAGGTGCGCTTTGAGTCGACTCAGAAGTCACGTGAGGCAGAGCGACAAGGGCACTGAGATGGAGAGGTGCGTGGGGCTCAATACAGCACAGAGATGGAGGTGCGCTTTGAGTCGACTCACAAGTCCAAGAGGCAGAGCGACAAGGGCACTGGGATGGAGAGGTGCGTGGGGCTCAATAGGACACAAAGATGGAGGTGCGCTTTGAGTCGACCAACAAGTCACGTGAGGCAGAGCGACAAGGGCACTGAGATGGAGAGGTGCGTGGGGCTCAATACGACACAGAGATGGAGGTGCGCTTTGAGTCGACTCACAAGTCCAAGAGGCAGAGCGACAAGGGCACTGAGATGGAGAGGTGCGTGGGGCTCAATACGACACAGAGATGGAGGTGCCCTTTGAGTCGACTCACAAGTTACGTGAGGCAGAGCGACAAGGGCACTGAGAAGGAGAGGTGCGTGGGGCTCAATACGACACAGAGATGGAGGTGCCCTTTGAGTCGACTCACAAGTCACGTGAGGCAGAGCGACAAGGGCAGTGAGATGGAGAGGTGCGTGGGGCTCAATACGACACAGAGATGGAGGTGCGCTTTGAGTCGACTCACAAGTCACCTCAGGCAGAGCGACAAGGGCAGTGAGATGGAGAGGTGCGTGGGGCTCAATACGACACAGAGATGGAGGTGCGCTTTGAGTCAACTCACATGTCGCGTGAGGCAGAGCGACAAGGGCACTGAGACGGAGAGGTGCGTGGGGCTCACTACGACACAGAGATGGAGGTGCGCTTTGAGTCGACTCACATGTCGCGTGAGGCAGAGCGACAAGGGCACTGAGACGGAGAGGTGCGTGGGGCTCACTACGACACAGAGATGGAGGTGCGCTTTGAGTCGACTCACATGTCGCGTGAGGCAGAGCGACAAGGGCGCTGAGACGGAGAGGTGCGTGGGGCTCACTACGACACAGAGATGGAGGTGCGCTTTGAGTCGACTCACAAGTCGCGTGAGGCAGAGCGACAAGGGCGCTGAGACGGAGAGGTGCGTGGGGCTCACTACGACACAGAGATGGAGGTGCGCTTTGAGTCGACTCACAAGTCGCGTGAGGCAGAGCGACAAGGGCGCTGAGACGGAGAGGTGCGTGGGGCTCAATACGACACAGAGATGGAGGTGCGCTTTGAGTCGACTCACAAGTCGCGTGAGGCAGAGCGACAAGGGCGCTGAGACGGAGAGGTGCGTGGGGCTCGCTACGACACAGAGATGGAGGTGCGTTTTGAGTCGACTCACATGTCGCGTGAGGCAGAGCGACAAGGGCACTGAGACGGAGAGGTGCGTGGGGCTCACTACGACACAGAGATGGAGGTGCGTTTTGAGTCGACTCACATGTCGCGTGAGGCAGAGCGACAAGGGCACTGAGATGGAGAGGTGCGTGGGGCTCACTACGACACAGAGATGGAGGTGCGCTTTGAGTCGACTCACATGTCGCGTGAGGCAGAGCGACAAGGGCACTGAGACGGAGAGGTGCGTGGGGCTCAATACCACACAGAGATGGAGGTGCGTTTTGAGTCGACTCACAAGTCACGTGAGGCAGAGCGACAAGGGCACTGCGAGGGAGAGGTGCGTGGGGCTCACTACGCCACAGAGATGGAGGTGCGTTTTGAGTCGACTCACAAGTCACGTGAGGCAGAGCGACAAGGGCACTGAGATGGAGAGGTGCGTGGGGCTCACTACGCCACAGAGATGGAGGTGCGTTTTGAGTCGACTCACAAGTCACGTGAGGCAGAACGACAAGGGCACTGAGATGGAGAGGTGCGTGGGGCTCACTACGACACCGAGATGGAGGTGCGTTTTGAGTCGACTCACAAGTCGCGTGAGGCAGAACGACAAGGGCACTGAGATGGAGAGGTGCGTGGGGCTCACTACGACACCGAGATGGAGGTGCGTTTTGAGTCGACTCACAAGTCGTGTGAGGCAGAGCGACAAGGGCACTGAGATGGAGATGTGCGTGAGGCTCAATACGACACAGAGATGGAGGTGCGCTTTGAGTCGACTCACAAGTCGCGTGAGGCAGAGCGACAAGGGCACTGAGACGGAGAGGTGCGTGGGGCTCACTACCACACAGAGGTGGAGGTGCGTTTTGAGTCGACTCACAAGTCACGTGAGGCAGAGCGACAAGGGCACTGAGACGGAGAGGTGCGTGGGGCTCACTACCACACAGAGGTGGAGGTGCGTTTTGAGTCGACTCACAAGTCACGTGAGGCAGAGCGACAAGGGCACTGAGACGGAGAGGTGCGTGGGGCTCACTACCACACAGAGGTGGAGGTGCGTTTTGAGTCGACTCACAAGTCACGTGAGGCAGAGCGACAAGGGCACTGAGACGGAGAGGTGCGTGGGGCTCACTACGCCACAGAGATGGAGGTGCGCTTTGAGTCGACTCACAAGTCACGTGAGGCAGAGCGACAAGGGCACTGAGACGGAGAGGTGCGTGGGGCTCACTACGCCACAGAGATGGAGGTGCGCTTTGAGTCGACTCACAAGTCACGTGAGGCAGAGCGACAAGGGCAGTGAGACGGAGAGGTGCGTGGGTCTCACTACAGCACAGAGATGGAGGTGCGCTTTGAGTCGACTCACAAGTCACGTGAGGCAGAGCGACAAGGGCAGTGAGACGGAGAGGTGCGTGAGGCTCAATACGACACAGAGATGGAGGTGCGCTTTGAGTCGACTCACATGTCGCGTGAGGCAGAGCGACAAGGGCACTGAGACGGAGAGGTGCGTGGGGCTCACTACCACACAGAGGTGGAGGTGCGTTTTGAGTCGACTCACAAGTCACGTGAGGCAGAGCGACAAGGGCACTGAGACGGAGAGGTGCGTGGGGCTCACTACCACACAGAGGTGGAGGTGCGTTTTGAGTCGACTCACAAGTCACGTGAGGCAGAGCGACAAGGGCACTGAGACGGAGAGGTGCATGGGGCTCAATACCACACAGAGGTGGAGGTGCGTTTTGAGTCGACTCACAAGTCACGTGAGGCGGAGCGACAAGGGCACTGAGACGGAGAGGTGCGTGGGGCTCACTACGCCACAGAGATGGAGGTGCGCTTTGAGTCGACTCACAAGTCACGTGAGGCAGAGCGACAAGGGCACTGAGACGGAGAGGTGCGTGGGTCTCAGTACAGCACAGAGATGGAGGTGCGCTTTGAGTCGACTCACAAGTCACGTGAGGCAGAGCGACAAGGGCACTGAGACGGAGAGGTGCGTGGGGCTCAATGCGACACAGAGATGGAGGTGCGCTTTGAGTCGACTCACAAGTCACGTGAGGCAGAGCGACAAGGGCACTGAGACGGAGAGGTGCGTGGGGCTCAATACGACACAGAGATGGAGGTGCGCTTTGAGTCGACTCACAAGTCACGTGAGGCAGAGCGACAAGGGCACCGAGACGGAGAGGTGCGTGGGGCTCAATGCGACACAGAGATGGAGGTGCGCTTTGAGTCGACTCACAAGTCACGTGAGGCAGAGCGACAAGGGCACCGAGACGGAGAGGTGGGTGAGGCTCAATACGACACAGAGATGGAGGTGCGCTTTGAGTCGACTCACAAGTCACGTGAGGCAGAGCGACAAGGGCACCGAGACGGAGAGGTGCGTGAGGCTCAATACGACACAGAGATGGAGGTGCGCTTTGAGTCGACTCACAAGTCACGTGAGGCAGAGCGACAAGGGCACCGAGATGGAGAGGTGGGTGGGGCTCAATACGACACAGAGATGGAGGTGCGCTTTGAGTCGACTCACAAGTCACGTGAGGCAGAGCGACAAGGGCACCGAGATGGAGAGGTGGGTGGGGCTCAATACGACACAGAGATGGAGGTGCGCTTTGAGTCGACTCACAAGTCACGTGAGGCAGAGCGACAAGGGCACCGAGATGGAGAGGTGGGTGAGGCTCAATACGACACAGAGATGGAGGTGCGCTTTGAGTCGACTCACAAGTCACGTGAGGCAGAGCGACAAGGGCACCGAGATGGAGAGGTGTGTGAGGCTCAATACGACACAGAGATGGAGGTGCGCTTTGAGTCGACTCACAAGTCACGTGAGGCAGAGCGACAAGGGCACCGAGATGGAGAGGTGGGTGGGGCTCAATACGACACAGAGATGGAGGTGCGCTTTGAGTCGACTCACAAGTCACGTGAGGCAGAGCGACAAGGGCACCGAGATGGAGAGGTGGGTGGGGCTCAATACGACACAGAGATGGAGGTGCGCTTTGAGTCGACTCACAAGTCACGTGAGGCAGAGCGACAAGGGCACCGAGATGGAGAGGTGGGTGAGGCTCAATACGACACAGAGATGGAGGTGCGCTTTGAGTCGACTCACAAGTCACGTGAGGCAGAGCGACAAGGGCACCGAGATGGAGAGGTGGGTGGGGCTCAATACGACACAGAGATGGAGGTGCGCTTTGAGTCGACTCACAAGTCACGTGAGGCAGAGCGACAAGGGCACCGAGATGGAGAGGTGGGTGGGGCTCAATACGACACAGAGATGGAGGTGCGCTTTGAGTCGACTCACAAGTCACGTGAGGCAGAGCGACAAGGGCACCGAGATGGAGAGGTGCGTGAGGCTCAATACGACACAGAGATGGAGGTGCGCTTTGAGTCGACTCACAAGTCACGTGAGGCAGAGCGACAAGGGCACCGAGATGGAGAGGTGGGTGGGGCTCAATACGACACAGAGATGGAGGTGCGCTTTGAGTCGACTCACAAGTCACGTGAGGCAGAGCGACAAGGGCACCGAGATGGAGAGGTGGGTGGGGCTCAATACGACACAGAGATGGAGGTGCGCTTTGAGTCGACTCACAAGTCACGTGAGGCAGAGCGACAAGGGCACCGAGATGGAGAGGTGTGTGAGGCTCAATACGACACAGAGATGGAGGTGCGCTTTGAGTCGACTCACAAGTCACGTGAGGCAGAGCGACAAGGGCACCGAGATGGAGAGGTGTGTGAGGCTCAATACGACACAGAGATGGAGGTGCGCTTTGAGTCGACTCACAAGTCACGTGAGGCAGAGCGACAAGGGCACCGAGATGGAGAGGTGGGTGGGGCTCAATACGACACAGAGATGGAGGTGCGCTTTGAGTCGACTCACAAGTCACGTGAGGCAGAGCGACAAGGGCACCGAGATGGAGAGGTGGGTGGGGCTCAATACGACACAGAGATGGAGGTGCGCTTTGAGTCGACTCACAAGTCACGTGAGGCAGAGCGACAAGGGCACCGAGATGGAGAGGTGGGTGGGGCTCAATACGACACAGAGATGGAGGTGCGCTTTGAGTCGACTCACAAGTCACGTGAGGCAGAGCGACAAGGGCACCGAGATGGAGAGGTGCGTGGGGCTCAATACGACACAGAGATGGAGGTGCGCTTTGAGTCGACTCACAAGTCACGTGAGGCAGAGCGACAAGGGCACCGAGATGGAGAGGTGCGTGGGGCTCAATACGACACAGAGATGGAGGTGCGCTTTGAGTCGACTCACAAGTCACGTGAGGCAGAGCGACAAGGGCACCGAGATGGAGAGGTGCGTGGGGCTCAATACGACACAGAGATGGAGGTGCGCTTTGAGTCGACTCACAAGTCACGTGAGGCAGAGCGACAAGGGCACGGAGATGGAGAGGTGCGTGGGGCTCAATACGACACAGAGATGGAGGTGCGCTTTGAGTCGACTCACAAGTCACGTGAGGCAGAGCGACAAGGGCACGGAGATGGAGAGGTGCGTGGGGCTCAATACGACACAGAGATGGAGGTGCGCTTTGAGTCGACTCACAAGTCACGTGAGGCAGAGCGACAAGGGCACGGAGATGGAGAGGTGCGTGGGGCTCAATACGACACAGAGATGGAGGTGCGCTTTGAGTCGACTCACAAGTCACGTGAGGCAGAGCGACAAGGGCACTGAGATGGAGAGGTGCGTGGGGCTCAATACGACACAGAGATGGAGGTGCGCTTTGAGTCGACTCACAAGTCACGTGAGGCAGAGCGACAAGGGCACTGAGATGGAGAGGTCCGTGAGGCTCAATACGACACAGAGATGGAGGTGCGCTTTGAGTCGACTCACAAGTCCAAGAGGCAGAGCGACAAGGGCACTGAGATGGAGAGGTGCGTGGGGCTCAATACGACACAGAGATGGAGGTGCGCTTTGAGTCGACTCACAAGTCGCGTGAGGCAGAGCGACAAGGGCACTGAGATGGAGAGGTCCGTGAGGCTCAATACGACACAGAGATGGAGGTGCGCTTTGAGTCGACTCACAAGTCCAAGAGGCAGAGCGACAAGGGCACTGAGATGGAGAGGTGCGTGGGGCTCAATACGACACAGAGATGGAGGTGCCCTTTGAGTCGACTCACAAGTCGCGTGAGGCAGAGCGACAAGGGCACTGAGAAGGAGAGGTGCGTGGGGCTCACTACGACACAGAGATGGAGGTGCCCTTTGAGTCGACTCACAAGTCGCGTGAGGCAGAGCGACAAGGGCACTGAGATGGAGAGGTGCGTGGGGCTCAATACGACACAGAGATGGAGGTGCGCTTTGAGTCGACTCACAAGTCGCGTCAGGCAGAGCGACAAGGGCACTGAGATGGAGAGGTGCGTGGGGCTCACTACGACACAGAGATGGAGGTGCGTTTTGAGTCGACTCACATGTCGCGTGAGGCAGAGCGACAAGGGCACTGAGACGGAGAGGTGCGTGGGGCTCACTACGACACAGAGATGGAGGTGCGCTTTGAGTCGACTCACAAGTCGCGTGAGGCAGAGCGACAAGGGCACTGAGAGGGAGAGGTGCGTGGGGCTCACTACGACACAGAGATGGAGGTGCGCTTTGAGTCGACTCACAAGTCGCGTGAGGCAGAGCGACAAGGGCGCTGAGACGGAGAGGTGCGTGGGGCTCACTACGACACAGAGATGGAGGTGCGCTTTGAGTCGACTCACAAGTCGCGTGAGGCAGAGCGACAAGGGCGCTGAGAGGGAGAGGTGCGTGGGGCTCACTACGACACAGAGATGGAGGTGCGCTTTGAGTCGACTCACAAGTCGCGTGAGGCAGAGCGACAAGGGCGCTGAGATGGAGAGGTGCGTGGGGCTCACTACAACACAGAGATGGAGGTGCGCTTTGAGTCGACTCACAAGTCGCGTGAGGCAGAGCGACAAGGGCGCTGAGATGGAGAGGTGCGTGGGGCTCACTACGACACAGAGATGGAGGTGCGCTTTGAGTCGACTCACAAGTCGCGTCAGGCAGAGCGACAAGGGCACTGAGACGGAGAGGTGCGTGGGGCTCACTACGACACAGAGATGGAGGTGCGTTTTGAGTCGACTCACAAGTCCCGTGAGGCAGAGCGACAAGGGCACTAAGACGGAGAGGTGCGTGGGGCTCACTACGACACAGAGATGGAGGTGCGTTTTGAGTCGACTCACAAGTCACGTGAGGCAGAGCGACAAGGGCACTGAGACGGAGAGGTGCGTGGGGCTCACTACGACACAGAGATGGAGGTGCGCTTTGAGTCGACTCACAAGTCCAAGAGGCAGAGCGACAAGGGCACTGAGATGGAGAGGTGCGTGGGGCTCAATACGACACAGAGATGGAGGTGCCCTTTGAGTCGACTCACAAGTCCAAGAGGCAGAGCGACAAGGGCACTGAGATGGAGAGGTGCGTGGGGCTCAATACGACACAGAGATGGAGGTGCGCTTTGAGTCGACTCACAAGTCGCGTCAGGCAGAGCGACAAGGGCACTGAGATGGAAAGGTGCGTGGGGCTCACTACGACACAGAGATGGAGGTGCGTTTTGAGTCGACTCACATGTCGCGTGAGGCAGAGCGACAAGGGCACTGAGACGGAGAGGTGCGTGGGGCTCACTACGACACAGAGATGGAGGTGCGCTTTGAGTCGACTCACAAGTCGCGTGAGGCAGAGCGACAAGGGCACTGAGAGGGAGAGGTGCGTGGGGCTCACTACGACACAGAGATGGAGGTGCGCTTTGAGTCGACTCACAAGTCGCGTGAGGCAGAGCGACAAGGGCGCTGAGACGGAGAGGTGCGTGGGGCTCACTACGACACAGAGATGGAGGTGCGCTTTGAGTCGACTCACAAGTCGCGTGAGGCAGAGCGACAAGGGCGCTGAGAGGGAGAGGTGCGTGGGGCTCACTACGACACAGAGATGGAGGTGCGCTTTGAGTCGACTCACAAGTCGCGTGAGGCAGAGCGACAAGGGCGCTGAGACGGAGAGGTGCGTGGGGCTCACTACGACACAGAGATGGAGGTGCGCTTTGAGTCGACTCACAAGTCGCGTGAGGCAGAGCGACAAGGGCGCTGAGAGGGAGAGGTGCGTGGGGCTCACTACGACACAGAGATGGAGGTGCGCTTTGAGTCGACTCACAAGTCGCGTGAGGCAGAGCGACAAGGGCGCTGAGATGGAGAGGTGCGTGGGGCTCACTACGACACAGAGATGGAGGTGCGCTTTGAGTCGACTCACAAGTCGCGTGAGGCAGAGCGACAAGGGCGCTGAGATGGAGAGGTGCGTGGGGCTCACTACGACACAGAGATGGAGGTGCGCTTTGAGTCGACTCACAAGTCGCGTGAGGCAGAGCGACAAGGGCGCTGAGATGGAGAGGTGCGTGGGGCTCACTACGACACAGAGATGGAGGTGCGCTTTGAGTCGACTCACAAGTCGCGTGAGGCAGAGCGACAAGGGCGCTGAGATGGAGAGGTGCGTGGGGCTCACTACGACACAGAGATGGAGGTGCGCTTTGAGTCGACTCACAAGTCGCGTCAGGCAGAGCGACAAGGGCACTGAGACGGAGAGGTGCGTGGGGCTCACTACGACACAGAGATGGAGGTGCGTTTTGAGTCGACTCACAAGTCCCGTGAGGCAGAGCGACAAGGGCACTAAGACGGAGAGGTGCGTGGGGCTCACTACGACACAGAGATGGAGGTGCGTTTTGAGTCGACTCACAAGTCCCGTGAGGCAGAGCGACAAGGGCACTGAGACGGAGAGGTGCGTGGGGCTCAATACCACACAGAGATGGAGGTGCGTTTTGAGTCGACTCACAAGTCGCGTGAGGCAGAGCGACAAGGGCACTGAGACGGAGAGGTGCGTGGGGCTCAATACCACACAGAGATGGAGGTGCGTTTTGAGTCGACTCACATGTCCCGTGAGGCAGAGCGACAAGGGCACTGAGAGGGAGAGGTGCGTGGGGCTCAATATGACACAGAGATGGAGGTGCCCTTTGAGTCGACTCACAAGTCGCGTCAGGCAGAGCGACAAGGGCACTGAGAAGGAGAGGTGCGTGGGGCTCACTACGACACAGAGATGGAGGTGCCCTTTGAGTCGACTCACATGTCGCGTGAGGCAGAGCGACAAGGGCACTGAGATGGAGAGGTGCGTGGGGCTGACTACGACACCGAGATGGAGGTGCGTTTTGAGTCGACTCACATGTCGCGTGAGGCAGAGCGACAAGGGCTCTGAGATGGAGAGGTGCGTGGGGCTCACTACGACACAGAGATGGAGGTGCGCTTTGAGTCGACTCACATGTCGCGTGAGGCAGAGCGACAAGGGCTCTGAGATGGAGAGGTGCGTGAGGCTCACTACGACACAGAGATGGAGGTGCGCTTTGAGTCGACTCACATGTCGCGTGAGGCAGAGCGACAAGGGCTCTGAGATGGAGAGGTGCGTGAGGCTCACTACGACACAGAGATGGAGGTGCGCTTTGAGTCGACTCACATGTCGCGTGAGGCAGAGCGACAAGGGCTCTGAGATGGAGAGGTGCGTGAGGCTCACTACGACACAGAGATGGAGGTGCGCTTTGAGTCGACTCACATGTCGCGTGAGGCAGAGCGACAAGGGCGCTGAGATGGAGAGGTGCGTGGGGCTCACTACGACACAGAGATGGAGGTGCGCTTTGAGTCGACTCACAAGTCGCGTGAGGCAGAGCGACAAGGGCGCTGAGATGGAGAGGTGCGTGGGGCTCACTACGACACAGAGATGGAGGTGCGTTTTGAGTCGACTCACAAGTCACGTGAGGCAGAGCGACAAGGGCACGGAGATGGAGAGGTGCGTGGGGCTCAATACGACACAGAGATGGAGGTGCGCTTTGTGTCGACTCACAAGTCACGTGAGGCAGAGCGACAAGGGCACGGAGATGGAGAGGTGCGTGGGGCTCAATACGACACAGAGATGGAGGTGCGCTTTGAGTCGACTCACAAGTCACGTGAGGCAGAGCGACAAGGGCACTGAGAAGGAGAGGTGCGTGGGGCTCACTACGACACAGAGATGGAGGTGCCCTTTGAGTCGACTCACATGTCGCGTGAGGCAGAGCGACAAGGGCACTGAGATGGAGAGGTGCGTGGGGCTCAATACGACACAGAGATGGAGGTGCGCTTTGAGTCGACTCACAAGTCGCGTCAGGCAGAGCGACAAGGGCACTGAGATGGAGAGGTGCGTGGGGCTCACTACGACACAGAGATGGAGGTGCGTTTTGAGTCGACTCACATGTCGCGTGAGGCAGAGCGACAAGGGCACTGAGACGGAGAGGTGCGTGGGGCTCACTACGACACAGAGATGGAGGTGCGCTTTGAGTCGACTCACAAGTCGCGTGAGGCAGAGCGACAAGGGCACTGAGAGGGAGAGGTCCGTGGGGCTCAATACGACACAGAGATGGAGGTGCGCTTTGAGTCGACTCACAAGTCGCGTGAGGCAGAGCGACAAGGGCGCTGAGACGGAGAGGTGCGTGGGGCTCACTACGACACAGAGATGGAGGTGCGCTTTGAGTCGACTCACAAGTCGCGTGAGGCAGAGCGACAAGGGCGCTGAGACGGAGAGGAGAGGTGCGTGGGGCTCACTACGACACAGAGATGGAGGTGCGTTTTGAGTCGACTCACAAGTCGCGTGAGGCAGAGCGACAAGGGCACTGAGACGGAGAGGTGCGTGGGGCTCACTACGACACAGAGATGGAGGTGCGTTTTGAGTCGACTCACAAGTCACGTGAGGCAGAGCGACAAGGGCACTGAGAGGGAGAGGTGCGTGGGGCTCAATACCACACAGAGATGGAGGTGCGTTTTGAGTCGACTCACAAGTCACGTGAGGCAGAGCGACAAGGGCACTGCGAGGGAGAGGTGCGTGGGGCTCACTACGCCACAGAGATGGAGGTGCGTTTTGAGTCGACTCACAAGTCCCGTGAGGCAGAACGACAAGGGCTCTGAGATGGAGATGTGCGTGAGGCTCACTACGACACAGAGATGGAGGTGCGCTTTGAGTCGACTCACATGTCGCGTGAGGCAGAGCGACAAGGGCTCTGAGATGGAGAGGTGCGTGAGGCTCACTACGACACAGAGATGGAGGTGCGCTTTGAGTCGACTCACATGTCGCGTGAGGCAGAGCGACAAGGGCTCTGAGATGGAGAGGTGCGTGAGGCTCACTACGACACAGAGATGGAGGTGCGCTTTGAGTCGACTCACATGTCGCGTGAGGCAGAGCGACAAGGGCTCTGAGATGGAGAGGTGCGTGAGGCTCACTACGACACAGAGATGGAGGTGCGCTTTGAGTCGACTCACATGTCGCGTGAGGCAGAGCGACAAGGGCACTGAGAGGGAGAGGTGCGTGAGGCTCAATACGACACAGAGATGGAGGTGCGCTTTGAGTCGACTCACATGTCGCGTGAGGCAGAGCGACAAGGGCACTGAGACGGAGAGGTGCGTGGGGCTCAATACGACACAGAGATGGAGGTGCGTTTTGAGTCGACTCACAAGTCACGTGAGGCAGAGCGACAAGGGCACTGAGACGGAGAGGTGCGTGGGGCTCAATACCACACAGAGATGGAGGTGCGTTTTGAGTCGACTCACAAGTCACGTGAGGCAGAGCGACGACAAGGGCTCTGAGATGGAGAGGTGCGTGGGGCTCACTACGACACAGAGATGGAGGTGCGTTTTGAGTCGACTCACAAGTCACGTGAGGCAGAGCGACAAGGGCATTGAGATGGAGAGGTGCGTGGGGCTCACTACGACACAGAGATGGAGGTGCGTTTTGAGTCGACTCACAAGTCACGTGAGGCAGAGCGACAAGGGCACCGAGATGGAGAGGTGGGTGGGGCTCACTACGACACAGAGATGGAGGTGCGCTTTGAGTCGACTCACAAGTCACGTGAGGCAGAGCGACAAGGGCACCGAGATGGAGAGGTGGGTGGGGCTCAATACGACACAGAGATGGAGGTGCGCTTTGAGTCGACTCACAAGTCACGTGAGGCAGAGCGACAAGGGCACCGAGATGGAGAGGTGGGTGGGGCTCAATACGACACAGAGATGGAGGTGCGCTTTGAGTCGACTCACAAGTCACGTGAGGCAGAGCGACAAGGGCACCGAGATGGAGAGGTGCGTGGGGCTCAATACGACACAGAGATGGAGGTGCGCTTTGAGTCGACTCACAAGTCACGTGAGGCAGAGCGACAAGGGCACCGAGATGGAGAGGTGCGTGGGGCTCAATACGACACAGAGATGGAGGTGCGCTTTGAGTCGACTCACAAGTCACGTGAGGCAGAGCGACAAGGGCACCGAGATGGAGAGGTGGGTGGGGCTCAATACGACACAGAGATGGAGGTGCGCTTTGAGTCGACTCACAAGTCACGTGAGGCAGAGCGACAAGGGCACCGAGATGGAGAGGTGGGTGGGGCTCAATACGACACAGAGATGGAGGTGCGCTTTGAGTCGACTCACAAGTCACGTGAGGCAGAGCGACAAGGGCACCGAGATGGAGAGGTGCGTGGGGCTCAATACGACACAGAGATGGAGGTGCGCTTTGAGTCGACTCACAAGTCACGTGAGGCAGAGCGACAAGGGCACCGAGATGGAGAGGTGCGTGGGGCTCAATACGACACAGAGATGGAGGTGCGCTTTGAGTCGACTCACAAGTCACGTGAGGCAGAGCGACAAGGGCACCGAGATGGAGAGGTGGGTGGGGCTCAATACGACACAGAGATGGAGGTGCGCTTTGAGTCGACTCACAAGTCACGTGAGGCAGAGCGACAAGGGCACCGAGATGGAGAGGTGGGTGGGGCTCAATACGACACAGAGATGGAGGTGCGCTTTGAGTCGACTCACAAGTCACGTGAGGCAGAGCGACAAGGGCACCGAGATGGAGAGGTGGGTGGGGCTCAATACGACACAGAGATGGAGGTGCGCTTTGAGTCGACTCACAAGTCACGTGAGGCAGAGCGACAAGGGCACCGAGATGGAGAGGTGGGTGGGGCTCAATACGACACAGAGATGGAGGTGCGCTTTGAGTCGACTCACAAGTCACGTGAGGCAGAGCGACAAGGGCACCGAGATGGAGAGGTGGGTGGGGCTCAATACGACACAGAGATGGAGGTGCGCTTTGAGTCGACTCACAAGTCACGTGAGGCAGAGCGACAAGGGCACCGAGATGGAGAGGTGGGTGGGGCTCAATACGACACAGAGATGGAGGTGCGCTTTGAGTCGACTCACAAGTCACGTGAGGCAGAGCGACAAGGGCACCGAGATGGAGAGGTGGGTGGGGCTCAATACGACACAGAGATGGAGGTGCGCTTTGAGTCGACTCACAAGTCACGTGAGGCAGAGCGACAAGGGCACCGAGATGGAGAGGTGCGTGGGGCTCAATACGACACAGAGATGGAGGTGCGCTTTGAGTCGACTCACAAGTCACGTGAGGCAGAGCGACAAGGGCACCGAGATGGAGAGGTGCGTGGGGCTCAATACGACACAGAGATGGAGGTGCGCTTTGAGTCGACTCACAAGTCACGTGAGGCAGAGCGACAAGGGCACCGAGATGGAGAGGTGCGTGGGGCTCAATACGACACAGAGATGGAGGTGCGCTTTGAGTCGACTCACAAGTCACGTGAGGCAGAGCGACAAGGGCACCGAGATGGAGAGGTGCGTGGGGCTCAATACGACACAGAGATGGAGGTGCGCTTTGAGTCGACTCACAAGTCACGTGAGGCAGAGCGACAAGGGCACCGAGATGGAGAGGTGCGTGGGGCTCAATACGACACAGAGATGGAGGTGCGCTTTGAGTCGACTCACAAGTCACGTGAGGCAGAGCGACAAGGGCACCGAGATGGAGAGGTGCGTGGGGCTCAATACGACACAGAGATGGAGGTGCGCTTTGAGTCGACTCACAAGTCACGTGAGGCAGAGCGACAAGGGCACCGAGATGGAGAGGTGCGTGGGGCTCAATACGACACAGAGATGGAGGTGCGCTTTGAGTCGACTCACAAGTCACGTGAGGCAGAGCGACAAGGGCACCGAGATGGAGAGGTGCGTGGGGCTCAATACGACACAGAGATGGAGGTGCGCTTTGAGTCGACTCACAAGTCACGTGAGGCAGAGCGACAAGGGCACCGAGATGGAGAGGTGCGTGGGGCTCAATACGACACAGAGATGGAGGTGCGCTTTGAGTCGACTCACAAGTCACGTGAGGCAGAGCGACAAGGGCACCGAGATGGAGAGGTGCGTGGGGCTCAATACGACACAGAGATGGAGGTGCGCTTTGAGTCGACTCACAAGTCACGTGAGGCAGAGCGACAAGGGCACCGAGATGGAGAGGTGCGTGGGGATCAATACGACACAGAGATGGAGGTGCGCTTTGAGTCGACTCACAAGTCACGTGAGGCAGAGCGACAAGGGCACCGAGATGGAGAGGTGCGTGGGGCTCAATACGACACAGAGATGGAGGTGCGCTTTGAGTCGACTCACAAGTCACGTGAGGCAGAGCGACAAGGGCACCGAGATGGAGAGGTGCGTGGGGCTCAATACGACACAGAGATGGAGGTGCGCTTTGAGTCGACTCACAAGTCCCGTGAGGCAGAGCGACAAGGGCACCGAGATGGAGGTGCGTGGGGCTCACTACGACACAGAGATGGAGGTGCCCTTTGAGTCGACTCACATGTCGCGTGAGGCAGAGCGACAAGGGCACTGAGATGGAGAGGTGCGTGGGGCTCAATACGACACAGAGATGGAGGTGCGGTTTGAGTCGACTCACATGTCGCGTGAGGCAGAGCGACAAGGGCGCTGAGACGGAGAGGTCCGTGGGGCTCACTACGACACAGAGATGGAGGTGCGGTTTGAGTCGACTCACAAGTCGCGTGAGGCAGAGCGACAAGGGCGCTGAGACGGAGAGGTCCGTGGGGCTCAATACGACACAGAGATGGAGGTGCGCTTTGAGTCGACTCACAAGTCGCGTGAGGCAGAGCGACAAGGGCGCTGAGATGGAGAGGTGCGTGGGGCTCACTACGACACAGAGATGGAGGTGCGTTTTGAGTCGACTCACATGTCGCGTGAGGCAGAGCGACAAGGGCGCTGAGACGGAGAGGTGCGTGGGGCTCACTACGACACAGAGATGGAGGTGCGTTTTGAGTCGACTCACAAGTCGCGTGAGGCAGAGCGACAAGGGCACTGAGACGGAGAGGTGCGTGGGGCTCACTACGACACAGAGATGGAGGTGCGTTTTGAGTCGACTCACAAGTCGCGTGAGGCAGAGCGACAAGGGCACTGAGACGGAGAGGTGCGTGGGGCTCACTACGACACAGAGATGGAGGTGCGTTTTGAGTCGACTCACAAGTCGCGTGAGGCAGAGCGACAAGGGCACTGAGACGGAGAGGTGCGTGGGGCTCACTACGACACAGAGATGGAGGTGCGTTTTGAGTCGACTCACAAGTCGCGTGAGGCAGAGCGACAAGGGCACTGAGACGGAGAGGTGCGTGGGGCTCACTACGACACAGAGATGGAGGTGCGTTTTGAGTCGACTCACAAGTCGCGTGAGGCAGAGCGACAAGGGCACTGAGACGGAGAGGTGCGTGGGGCTCAATACGACACAGAGATGGAGGTGCGTTTTGAGTCGACTCACAAGTCGCGTGAGGCAGAGCGACAAGGGCACTGCGACGGAGAGGTGCGTGGGGCTCACTACCACACAGAGATGGAGGTGCGTTTTGAGTCGACTCACAAGTCGCGTGAGGCAGAGCGACAAGGGCACTGCGAGGGAGAGGTGCGTGGGGCTCACTACGCCACAGAGATGGAGGTGCGTTTTGAGTCGACTCACAAGTCCCGTGAGGCAGAACGACAAGGGCACTGAGATGGAGAGGTGCGTGGGGCTCACTACGACACAGAGATGGAGGTGCGTTTTGAGTCGACTCACAAGTCGCGTGAGGCAGAACGACAAGGGCACTGAGATGGAGATGTGCGTGAGGCTGACTACGACACAGAGATGGAGGTGCGTTTTGAGTCGACTCACATGTCGCGTGAGGCAGAGCGACAAGGGCTCTGAGATGGAGATGTGCGTGAGGCTCACTACGACACAGAGATGGAGGTGCGCTTTGAGTCGACTCACATGTCGCGTGAGGCAGAGCGACAAGGGCTCTGAGATGGAGAGGTGCGTGAGGCTCACTACGACACAGAGATGGAGGTGCGCTTTGAGTCGACTCACAAGTCGCGTGAGGCAGAGCGACAAGGGCTCTGAGATGGAGAGGTGCGTGAGGCTCACTACGACACAGAGATGGAGGTGCGCTTTGAGTCGACTCACAAGTCGCGTGAGGCAGAGCGACAAGGGCACTGAGATGGAGGTGCGTGGGGCTCAATACATCACAGAGATGGAGGTGCGCTTTGAGTCGACTCACATGTCACGTGAGGCAGAGCGACAAGGGCACTGAGACGGAGAGGTGCGTGGGGCTCAATACAGCACAGAGATGGAGGTGCGCTTTGAGTCGACTCACAAGTCACGTGAGGCAGAGCGACCAGGGCACTGAGATGGAGAGGTGCGTGGGGCTCAATACAGCACAGAGATGGAGGTGCGCTTTGAGTCGACTCACAAGTCACGTGAGGCAGAGCGACAAGGGCACTGAGATGGAGAGGTGCGTGGGGCTCAATACGACACAGAGATGGAGGTGCGCTTTGAGTCGACTCACAAGTCCAAGAGGCAGAGCGACAAGGGCACTGAGATGGAGAGGTGCGTGGGGCTCAATACAGCACAGAGATGGAGGTGCGCTTTGAGTCGACTCACAAGTCACGTGAGGCAGAGCGACAAGGGCACTGAGATGGAGAGGTGCGTGGGGCTCAATACAGCACAGAGATGGAGGTGCGCTTTGAGTCGACTCACAAGTCACGTGAGGCAGAGCGACAAGGGCACGGAGATGGAGAGGTGCGGGGGCTCAATACGACACAGAGATGGAGGTGCGTTTTGAGTCGACTCACAAGTCACGTGAGGCAGAGCGACAAGGGCACTGAGATGGAGAGGTGCGTGGGGCTCAATACGACACAGAGATGGAGGTGCGTTTTGAGTCGACTCACAAGTCACGTGAGGCAGAGCGACAAGGGCACTGAGATGGAGAGGTGCGTGGGGCTCAATACGACACAGAGATGGAGGTGCGCTTTGAGTCGACTCACAAGTCACGTGAGGCAGAGCGACAAGGGCACTGAGATGGAGAGGTGCGTGGGGCTCAATACGACACAGAGATGGAGGTGCGCTTTGAGTCGACTCACAAGTCACGTGAGGCAGAGCGACAAGGGCACTGAGATGGAGAGGTGCGTGGGGCTCAATACGACACAGAGATGGAGGTGCGCTTTGAGTCGACTCACAAGTCACGTGAGGCAGAGCGACAAGGGCACTGAGATGGGGAGGTGCGTGGGGCTCAATACGACACAGAGATGGAGGTGCGCTTTGAGTCGACTCACAAGTCACGTGAGGCAGAGCGACAAGGGCACTGAGATGGGGAGGTGCGTGGGGCTCAATACGACACAGAGATGGAGGTGCGCTTTGAGTCGACTCACAAGTCACGTGAGGCAGAGCGACAAGGGCACTGAGATGGAGAGGTGCGTGGGGCTCAATACGACACAGAGATGGAGGTGCGCTTTGAGTCGACTCACAAGTCACGTGAGGCAGAGCGACAAGGGCACTGAGATGGAGAGGTGCGTGGGGCTCAATACCGCACAGAGATGGAGGTGCGCTTTGAGTCGACTCACAAGTCACGTGAGGCAGAGCGACAAGGGCACTGAGATGGAGAGGTGCGTGGGGTCAATACGACACAGAGATGGAGGTGCGTTTCGAGTCGACTCACAAGTCACGTGAGGCAGAGCGACAAGGGCACTGAGATGGGGAGGTGCGTGGGGCTCAATACGACACAGAGATGGAGGTGCGCTTCGAGTCGACTCACAAGTCACGTGAGGCAGAGCGACAAGGGCACTGAGATGGAGAGGTGCGTGGGGCTCAATACGACACAGAGATGGAGGTGCGCTTGGAGTCGACTCACAAGTCACGTGAGGCAGAGCGACAAGGGCACTGAGATGGAGAGGTGCGTGGGGCTCAATACGACACAGAGATGGAGGTGCGTTTGGAGTCGACTCACAAGTCACGTGAGGCAGAGCGACAAGGGCACTGAGATGGAGAGGTGCGTGGGGCTCAATACGACACAGAGATGGAGGTGCGTTTTGAGTCGACTCACAAGTCACGTGAGGCAGAGCGACAAGGGCACTGAGATGGAGAGGTGCGTGGGGCTCAATACGACACAGAGATGGAGGTGCGTTTTGAGTCGACTCACAAGTCACGTGAGGCAGAGCGACAAGGGCACTGAGATGGAGAGGTGCGTGGGGCTCAATACGACACAGAGATGGAGGTGCGCTTTGAGTCGACTCACAAGTCACGTGAGGCAGAGCGACAAGGGCACTGAGATGGGGAGGTGCGTGGGGCTCAATACGACACAGAGATGGAGGTGCGCTTTGAGTCGAGTCACAAGTCACGTGAGGCAGAGCGACAAGGGCACTGAGATGGGGAGGTGCGTGGGGCTCAATACGACACAGAGATGGAGGTGCGCTTTGAGTCGACTCACAAGTCACGTGAGGCAGAGCGACAAGGGCACTGAGATGGGGAGGTGCGTGGGGCTCAATACGACACAGAGATGGAGGTGCGCTTTGAGTCGACTCACAAGTCACGTGAGGCAGAGCGACAAGGGCACTGAGATGGAGAGGTGCGTGGGGCTCAATACCGCACAGAGATGGAGGTGCGCTTTGAGTCGACTCACAAGTCACGTGAGGCAGAGCGACAAGGGCACTGAGATGGAGAGGTGCGTGGGGCTCAATACGACACAGAGATGGAGGTGCGCTTCGAGTCGACTCACAAGTCACGTGAGGCAGAGCGACAAGGGCACTGAGATGGAGAGGTGCGTGGGCTCAATACGACACAGAGATGGAGGTGCGTTTCGAGTCGACTCACAAGTCACGTGAGGCAGAGCGACAAGGGCACTGAGATGGGGAGGTGCGTGGGGCTCAATACGACACAGAGATGGAGGTGCGTTTCGAGTCGACTCACAAGTCACGTGAGGCAGAGCGACAAGGGCACTGAGATGGAGAGGTGCGTGGGGCTCAATACGACACAGAGATGGAGGTGCGCTTCGAGTCGACTCACAAGTCACGTGAGGCAGAGCGACAAGGGCACTGAGATGGAGAGGTGCGTGGGGCTCAATACGACACAGAGATGGAGGTGCGCTTCGAGTCGACTCACAAGTCACGTGAGGCAGAGCGACAAGGGCACTGAGATGGAGAGGTGCGTGGGGCTCAATACGACACAGAGATGGAGGTGCGCTTCGAGTCGACTCACAAGTCACGTGAGGCAGAGCGACAAGGGCACTGAGATGGAGAGGTGCGTGGGGCTCAATACACCACAGAGATGGAGGTGCGCTTCGAGTCGACTCACAAGTCACGTGAGGCAGAGCGACAAGGGCACTGAGATGGAGAGGTGCGTGGGGCTCAATACAGCACAGAGATGGAGGTGCGCTTCGAGTCGACTCACAAGTCACGTGAGGCAGAGCGACAAGGGCACTGAGATGGAGAGGTGCGTGGGGCTCAATACAGCACAGAGATGGAGGTGCGCTTCGAGTCGACTCACAAGTCATGTGAGGCAGAGCGACAAGGGCAGTGAGATGGAGAGGTGCGTGGGTCTCAATACATCACAGAGATGGAGGTGCGCTTTGAGTCGACTCACAAGTCACGTGAGGCAGAGCGACAAGGGCACTGAGATGGAGAGGTGCGTGGGGCTCAATACAGCACAGAGATGGAGGTGCGCTTTGAGTCGACTCACAAGTCACGTGAGGCAGAGCGACAAAGGCACTGAGATGGAGAGGAGCGTGAGGCTCAATACGACACATAGATGGAGGTGCGCTTTGAGTCGACTCACAAGTCCAAGAGGCAGAGCGACAAGGGCACTGAGATGGAGAGGTGCGTGGGGCTCAATGGGACACATAGATGGAGGTGCGCTTTGAGTCGACTCACAAGTCCAAAAGGCAGAGCGACAAAGGCACTGAGATGGAGAGGTGCGTAGGGCTCAATACAACACAGAGATGGAGGTGCGCTTTGAGTTGACTCACAAGTCACATGAGGCAGAGCGACCAGGGCACTGAGATGGAGAGGTGCGTGGGGCTCAATACAACACAGAGATGGAGGTGCGCTTTGAGTCGACTCACAAGTCACGTGAGGCAGAGCGACCAGGGCACTGAGATGGAGAGGTGCGTGGGGCTCAATACGACACAGAGATGGAGGTGCGCTTTGAGTCGACTCACAAGTCACGTGAGGCAGAGCGACAAGGGCACCGAGGTGGAGAGGTGCGTGAGGCTCAATACGACACAGAGATGGAGGTGCGCTTTGAGTCGACTCACAAGTCACGTGAGGCAAGGCGACAAGGGCACCGAGATGGAGAGGTGCGTGAGGCTCAATACGACACAGAGATGGAGGTGCGCTTTGAGTCGACTCACAAGTCACGTGAGGCAAGGCGACAAGGGCACCGAGATGGAGAGGTGCGTGAGGCTCAATACGACACAGAGATGGAGGTGCGCTTTGAGTCGACTCACAAGTCACGTGAGGCAAGGCGACAAGGGCACCGAGATGGAGAGGTGCGTTGGGCTCAATACGACACAGAGATGGAGGTGCGCTTTGAGTCGACTCACAAGTCGCGTGAGGCAAGGCGACAAGGGCACCGAGATGGAGAGGTGCGTGGGGCTCAATACGACACAGAGATGGAGGTGCGCTTTGAGTCGACTCACAAGTCGCGTGAGGCAGAGCGACAAGGGCACCGAGATGGAGAGGTGCGTGGGGCTCAATACGACACAGAGATGGAGGTGCGCTTTGAGTCGACTCACAAGTCGCGTGAGGCAGAGCGACAAGGGCACCGAGATGGAGAGGTGCGTGGGGCTCAATACGACACAGAGATGGAGGTGCGCTTTGAGTCGACTCACAAGTCGCGTGAGGCAGAGCGACAAGGGCGCTGAGATGGAGAGGTGCGTGGGGCTCATTAGGACACAGAGATGGAGGTGCGGTTTGAGTCGACTCACAAGTCGCGTGAGGCAGAGCGACAAGGGCGCTGAGATGGAGAGGTGCGTGGGGCTCATTAGGACACAGAGATGGAGGTGCGGTTTGAGTCGACTCACAAGTCGCGTGAGGCAGAGCGACAAGGGCGCTGAGATGGAGAGGTGCGTGGGGCTCACTACGACACAGAGATGGAGGTGCGGTTTGAGTCGACTCACAAGTCGCGTGAGGCAGAGCGACAAGGGCGCTGAGATGGAGAGGTGTGTGGGGCTCACTACGACACAGAGATGGAGGTGCGGTTTGAGTCGACTCACAAGTCGCGTGAGGCAGAGCGACAAGCGCACTGAGACGGAGAGGTGCGTGGGGCTCACTACGACACAGAGATGGAGGTGCGTTTTGAGTCGACTCACATGTCACGTGAGGCTGAGCGACAAGGGCACTGAGACGGAGAGGTGCGTGGGGCTCAGTACCACAAAGAGATGGAGGTGCGTTTTGAGTCGACTCACAAGTCACGTGAGGCAGAGCGACAAGGGCACTGCGACGGAGAGGTGCGTGGGGCTCACTACGACACAGAGATGGAGGTGCGTTTTGAGTCGACTCACAAGTCACGTGAGGCAGAGCGACAAGGGCACTGCGACGGAGAGGTGCGTGGGGCTCACTACGACACAGAGATGGAGGTGCGTTTTGAGTCGACTCACAAGTCACGTGAGGCAGAGCGACAAGGGCACTGCGACGGAGAGGTGCGTGGGGCTCACTACGACACAGAGATGGAGGTGCGTTTTGAGTCGACTCACAAGTCACGTGAGGCAGAGCGACAAGGGCACTGCGACGGAGAGGTGCGTGGGGCTCACTACGACACAGAGATGGAGGTGCGTTTTGAGTCGACTCACAAGTCACGTGAGGCAGAGCGACAAGGGCACTGCGACGGAGAGGTGCGTGGGGCTCACTACGACACAGAGATGGAGGTGCGTTTTGAGTCGACTCACAAGTCACGTGAGGCAGAGCGACAAGGGCACTGCGATGGAGAGGTGCGTGGGGCTCACTACGACACAGAGATGGAGGTGCGTTTTGAGTCGACTCACAAGTCACGTGAGGCAGAGCGACAAGGGCACTGCGACGGAGAGGTGCGTGGGGCTCACTACGACACAGAGATGGAGGTGCGTTTTGAGTCGACTCACAAGTCACGTGAGGCAGAGCGACAAGGGCACTGCGACGGAGAGGTGCGTGGGGCTCACTACGACACAGAGATGGAGGTGCGTTTTGAGTCGACTCACAAGTCACGTGAGGCAGAGCGACAAGGGCACTGAGATGGAGAGGTGCGTGGGGCTCACTACGACACAGAGATGGAGGTGCGTTTTGAGTCGACTCACAAGTCACGTGAGGCAGAGCGACAAGGGCACTGAGATGGAGAGGTGCGTGGGGCTCACTACGACACAGAGATGGAGGTGCGTTTTGAGTCGACTCACAAGTCACGTGAGGCAGACGACAAGGTCACTGAGATGGAGAGGTGCGTGGGGCTCACTACGACACAGAGATGGAGGTGCGTTTTGAGTCGACTCACAAGTCACGTGAGGCAGAGCGACAAGGGCACTGAGATGGAGAGGTTCGTGGGGCTCACTACAACACAGAGATGGAGGTGCGTTTTGAGTCGACTCACAAGTCATGTGAGGCAGAGCGACAAGGGCATTGAGATGGAGAGGTGCGTGGGCAAGCCACTTACGGAGCTGCTGAGGTGTGCGGGTCTCGGTCGGACGCTGCTGCTGCTGCCGCTGGACTCCCCCAGAGCCACCCCTCTGACCAGCCCCACCTCGACCGCCACCACTGCCGCCACCACTGCTGCCACCACCGCCGCCACCACCACGCTCTGCTGCGCTGCTAGCACGCTCTGCTGCGTTGCAAGCACGCTCTGCTGCGTTGCTTGCACGCTCAGCTGCGTTGCTAGCACGCTCTGCTGCGTTGCTAGCACGCTCTGCTGCGTTGCTAGCACGACCAGCTGCGTTGCTAGCATGCTCTGCTGCGTTGCTAGCACGCTCTGCTGCGTTGCTAGCACGCTCTACTTGGTTGCTAGCACGCTCAGCTGCGTTGCTAGCACGCTCTGCTGCGTTGCTAGCACGCTCTGCAGCGTTGCTAGCACGCTCTGCTGCGTTGCTAGCACGCTCTGGTGCATTGCTAGCACGCTCTGCTGCGTTGCTAGCAAGCTCCGGTGCATTGGGGCAGCGAGCAGAGGTGAAAGGCATGGGCAAGGCCATGTTCAAGGGTGCTGATGGGAAGATGGTGGGCCTCAAGAACGTGCTTTGGGTGCCCAGCCTTGCTGCAAACCTGATTTCCGTGCGGCGGTTGGCAAAGGCCGGCATGGACACGAACTCGAAGGGAGCCAAGACCTACACCGCAAGGCTTGGCGATCGAATTCTTTGGGACCTTCATGAGGACAGGGATGTCTACAACGAGATGTGGCAGATCCCAGTGGTCCCTATGCCTAAGGAGAGGCAAGTGGCAGCAAGCATCAGCACCAAGGATGGAGCGGTCGGTAGCGACGATGGCGCGAACGGTCGCGCTAAGGAGAATGAGCTCAAGAAGAGCAAACCTGGAGGGACCAGCAAGTTCAGTGAACCTAAGGAGAGTGGTGCAGCAACCAAGGAGCAGCAAAAGGGTGAGGAGAACCCAGAGGCAGCAGCGGAGGAGGACTACGGAGAGAGTATGTGGGGCGCTATTGCGAGCGCGGCATTCTCCAATTCAACTTCGGCTACGGGGGAGTGTGATTGGCTCACCTTGCATCGGCGCATGGGGCATGTGGCCCTGCCCATCTTGCAGCAGCTAGTGAAGAATGAGATGGTTGCTGGCATACGTGTGAAGGGGGAGCCCGATGAGGTGCTTGGCTGCCCGACGTGCATTCAAGCCAAGTTCACCCGGTTTCCGTTCCCTAGTTCGGAGGCAACGGCAAAGGCACCGCTTGATGAGGTGGTGATGGACGTGGTGGGCCCCCTGAAGCTTGGAGCTGCTGGAGCTGAGTATTTTCTCACCATTGTCGACGTCTACACCCGCATGACTTGGGTGTACGTGCTGGCCAAGAAGAGCGACGTGGCTGAAACATTGAAGACGGATTGGTTCCCGATGGTGGAGCGGCAACAAGACCGTCTAGTCAAGTCAATCCGCACCGATCGAGGGGGAGAGTTCCTGAGCAAGGAGTTTGGGTTGTGGCTGAAGAAGAATGGTATTCGGCACTCCCTCACCATGCCATACTCCCCTGCAATGAACGGCATCGCCGAGCGAGCGAACCGCACAATCACGGAGGCGGCACGCGGGTTGCTCATTGAAGCCGGGCTACCCGACTATTTCTGGCCTGATGCGGTGCGGAGCGCGTGTGTGGCCAAGAACAGAGCCTTGACTCATGTGGGAGCAGACAAATGGGTGCCCTATGTGGAGTGGCTAGGAAGGAAGCCAAAGGTGGATATGCTTCGGGTGTTCGGGTGCATGTGCATGGCGCTCGTGCCTAAGCATCTTCGGCACAACAAGCTTGGTGCCAAGGCGGTGTGGGCCGTGCACTTGGGCATGGCTCAAAACAGCAAGGGATGGCTTCTTTGGGACCCATTCACCAAGAAGTTCTTGGTGAGCAGGGACTGCAAGTTCATGGAGAACTTCATGTACAAGGATTGGAAGGCGGAGAATGAGGCGAAGATAGGCGTGCGGTTTGGGGAGGTGAAGAGTTCCGGTTTGGAGCATGTGGAGCTGCCTTTGGAGCTGAGCAGCGGCAGCACAACCACAAGGCAATCCTCCCTTGTGAATGGGGGAGAGGAGGCCAATTATGCAGAGGAAGAAGAGGAGGAGGTGCAGCAAGTGAGCGAGCGTGCACCGTCACTCCCTTCCCGTACTACGAGTGCTCCACGGATTCGAGCCACACCGCAGCAACGCCAAGGCCTTCAAGTCCCTGCAGCTGAGGAGGAAGGAAGGGGGAAGAGGAGAGTTCAACCCCCTAATAGGCTGACCTATGATGCGCCGGGAAAGCAGGGCAAGACAGCCCTGGCCGGAGTGGCAATGATGGTCGGAGACGACGAGGAGAGTGACTACGAGGAGTGTGCCATCGCGTTCTTCTCTCCGGTGGAGATGCCGGGAGAACCAGCAACTCTCAAGGAGGCTTTGGAGAGTAGTGATGCTGAGGAGTGGAAGAAGGCCATGGAGAGTGAGCTGAAGAGCATCGAGGAGAATGACACGTTTGAATTGGTGGAGCTACCGGAGGGGCGTACGGCGATAACGTCCAAGTGGCTCTTCAAAATCAAGTCGGATGCCGACGGCAAGATCGAGCGCTACAAGTCTAGGCTTGTAGCCAAGGGGTACCAGCAGAAGGAGAAGGTGGACTTCAAGGAGCTGTTTGCCCCTGTGGTGAAGCCGACGACGCTGCGAACCCTATTCGCGGGAGCCGCCATCAAAGGATGGGTAGTAAAGCAAATGGACATCGTAACGGCATTCCTTAACGGCATCCTTGAGGAGGAGATTTTTATGGCGCAGCCAGAGGGGTTTGATGATGGTAGTGGCAGAGTGTGGAAGCTGAAGAAGGCCCTCTATGGGCTGAAGCAGGCCCCTAGGCAATGGTACATGAAGCTGCGCGAAGTGTTGGAGGGGATCGGCTTCACTCCCTCAACGGCCGATCACTCCTTGTTCATGCTTGGCGAGGGGGAGCAGAGGAGTTTCATGGTGGTTTATGTGGATGACATCCTCATTTTCTCACCCTCTTCTGACCTTGTGAAGGAGGTGATGCTGAAGCTTCAAGACAAGTTCAAGTGCAAGGCCCTTGGTGACGTGAGCTTCTACCTTGGGCTCCACATCGAACGAGATGTGGAGAAGCGGTGCATGCGGGTGCATCAACGAAAGTACCTGGAGGCATTGGCTGCCAACTTTGGGCAGAGTGAAGGCCATGTGGCTACACCCTTTCCCTCTGGATTCAAGTGTGTGAAGGGACCAGAGGAGGAGAGCGTTGGTGAAGAGGAGAGGCGCCGATTTCACTCGTTGGTGGGCAGCCTCATGTATGTGGCGGTAAACACCCGACCGGACGTCGCGTTTGCTACCGGGCAGCTGGCTAGGGTTGTGCAATGCCCTAATGAGGAGCAGGTATCAGCTGGAATGAGGGTGGCCAAGTATCTTGGCCAAACACCGACCGTTGGGCTGCAATACTCGGCGGCGGCACAAAGGCGCCAAAAGGGCGCGGATGGTGTTGAACCCGGGCGTTTGTTCCTCACCGCCTACTCGGATGCTTCATATGCATCAGAACCAGAGGACATGACAAGTGTGGGAGGCTTCATATGCTGTGTTGGTGGAGGCCCAACTGCTTGGGAGAGCAAGAAGCAGGTTGACCAAGCTTTGAGCTCGGTGGAGTCCGAGTACATGGCACTCTTCCGTGCCGTACGGGAGATTGTGTGGCAGCGGCGTTTGTTGGCTGAATTGGGGGAGGAGCAGCAAGGACCTACCCCACTGTACTGTGACAGCCAGGGTGCCATTGCTCTTGCTAAGAACCATGTGTTGCATGGACTCACGAAGCACATGAGGGTGAAGTGGCATTGGACGAGGAGCATGGTAACCGCGGGTGAAGTTGAGTTGCGCTACGTGAAGACCACGGGGCAGCCGGCTGACATGATGACCAAGAGGCTGGTGGAGCAGCAGCATTGGAAGTGTTGCAAGCTGGCTGGGATGGCTCTGAACTGAGAGAGCAACATATCCTAAGGCCAACAATCCGAGGGGGAGTTTGTTGGTGCAACCCTACGGTTTGCACTCGGCTTCTTGTCCGTGTGCGTGAATGTGTGTGTGTATGGAATGGTATGAGGGCATGGGATAATATATATTTCATGCTTATAATTGTGTGTGAATGTTGAGTCATGATGTCGAGTGTGTGTGTCGAGTCAATAGCGAGTTATCGCTAGACGCGTGTTACGCGGTCGTTTGTGTCTCGCGCGCGGTTTCTATTTTGTCGTGCGCGGTTTCTATTTTGTCCTGTGTCGAACGTTCGGCGTGTCGCAGGTGTGTGCAGCAGACCCATCAAGAACTCAAGGATGAGTTTGTGATGAAGAGCCCGAGCCTTGGTGTCAAGCCTCAAGTGATTTCGAAGCTTGCCAAAAGGGTACACCTCAAGATATTGAAGATAGTTACATTACTTTGTGTAGTGTAACATTTCACTTGGTGTAGGCCCTAGTGAAGGGTAGTTTCGAGACCCTTCGTGGTTGGGGACAGTGTGGCACTGTTCCACATCACTGTACCTCGGCTCTTGGGGTTTGTAGGAGCTGGGAGTCATTCCCAACTCGTAACTCTTCCTATCTTGTGT